TTCGTAAAAGAAAAATCGATCGCTGCTCAAAAAGCAGTGTATTAGAAGTTTTTATCAAATTCATCGAAATAGTGACTAAACAAAACTGTTTAACAGTACATTGTCGTTTATTTTACAAAACTAGTTTAATGTCCAAGAAAAATATTCCATCTATCTGTTATAGGTCATCAATAGCAGTTTTTATTGTTATTGATTTATGTGTGTCAACACGATTAACACAACCAGCAAATTCAAATTGAATATTCATCGATATTTGTAACACTTATGTTGCGTATATAATTAGAAGAACGTCAACGGTAACGTTTCTGATCTGCTAGCGCATACTTATATTGACGAAAACCTTCTCATTGTTTTCGATCAGGAAATTTACCATTATCAAACTTCAACAAGTCCTGCTCAAGGTGCATTTTATTTTCAAAAGCGTTAGTAACTTTTTGTCGTACATTAAAAAAATTATATTTAGCCATTTTATTAAATCTCAAAGAGTAATTATATAATTTAATTATTTCTTTACAGAAAAATGTTTAAAAGTTGATTGCTCGAAAATATTTAGTCTATAATTCATTCGAAACAAAGCGAATTATTATTTTGAGCATAGCATAAGAAATAACCTTAATTTGTTAAAGAGTACCATATTTAAAAGAATCATATTAGTTTGTATTAGTTTTGGAAAAGTATATTACCAAATCTTTTTCTTCAAGTGGATAATTGAATTAAATCTTTTTCAGACAATGAATTAAAAGAGAATCTTTTTAGGAAACTCTATATTTATTGGAAATAGAAAAATCCCGATGAAGTTTCATTTGTAAAAAGAATAAATAGGTTAGCAATGTGTAAAAATCAGTGTCTTAAATTTTTATAAGATATTAATTAATTTTGATAGAAACAAAGTAGTATTGTAAAAAACTTCAACTATAAACAATTTTTTCGGAGAAAGAGTATTGATATTTATGTGATAGATTTTTATAAAACAAATGAAGCACTTTTTTTTGTCATCTTTTCTCCTTCGTTTATGAATGATTTCTTTTCTTTTTAGATTTTTTTCTATCATTGCTGTTATTCAAATGATGTCGGTCTTGTCTAACGAAAATATCGTAAGCAGAGATGGACAAGTCAGAAATGTTTGAGGTACAAGTCAAGTCAAACTTGACTTAACTTATCCATCTCTGATTTGCATTATATGTAAGATGACAGAGGTAAATAAAAAAGACCCAAAAAAAGATAAAGGATCAACACTCAAATATATAAGTCGAACTAATTTGATATGATGGTTATAATATGATTTTTGATGATTCTCTTTCCTTTAATCTGAAACTGATTCTTCAAGTGAAAATTATATATGATATATTCTGCTCGACATTTGCTTTATTTGCTTAGCTAATGGTTCATTGTATTTTTCTTTTTTTTTTTTAAGTATTATTTGATATTGTGTCTCCCTTCTGTGCGGTATCACTATCGGCAGGTACTTCATCAATGAACAAACACAAGTAATTATCAACGTTTCTCAATAGTTTTTTGTTTTTTTATTGTGTCGTTATTTCTTGAACAGATTATTTTTTGAAAGAACATTAACAACAATGATAGAAACGTGCAGTGAGAAAATTGGATCCACCTTCTCAGTTTCACACACTGCAACTAACAAAGATAATTGTTACTCAAGTTTGTTATGAGGGGATGATCAGAGAAAGTTAATAACTTTTCTTCATTCATGACGCACATGTTGAAAGAATCTCTCCTTTAAATCATAAAGTGACATACACATTATCAATCATTAATGTAAGTTTGTATTTCATATCGATTGCAATTCTCTCTCTATTTACTATATTATTTTTAATTTCCAACTAAAGTCATTTTGACGCTTATTTAATTACTCTGAGAATATATAAAACAAAAAAAAATTTCTTGTCTCTTCTTTACTATTTTTCCTACAAATTTTCTTCACTGAAATGGTATTTTGAAGATTGTTTCTTATATTTTACTGGTCAATTATACTTTTTGTTGATGACAAAACTGTAAAAGCTGCTGGAAAACAATGAAATAAATTATAAAACTTTCTATATTTATCAACACACTCTTTGGACACGTTTACATATGAATCTTTTTTCCTCAGCTAAGAACTTTGAATCAATGCACTTTTTTTTTGTCTGCTGCTCAACTTTCTGTTATAGACGAACGGCAAACTATGTAAATGATGGTTCTTATTCATATATTGTCTTCGACTGGTACATGAATACACATTTTATTTGTTTTCAGCTTCATCGTTATCATGATAATAAAATCATCATTTAAACAGATTACTAGAGATAATGGGCGAACATTTTCTTCGTTCAACATTACTAAAATATATCAATTTACATGTAGCAATTTGAAACTTTTGTAATAGCTTCAATCTAAACGTAAATTTTTATATTAATTGTCTACTGAAGCTTCTTTGTTTCTTGTGAAAAAGAATATGTTTTTCTAAAATTTCTATTTAGAATTGAATTTAGATATTTTATCTCGGATTCACTTTATAATGTCAGTGATTAAAAGTGTATTTAAATATTCCATTGAGTGAAATATCCTTCCAAATATAATTCACGTACTTCATTTGTTGTATTTAATTAAATCAATTTTGATAAAGATTAAATTTTTTTTTCTTGATTCCAGAATTGCTTTCATTTCATCTAATGTGTATACAACCATATAAAATTGAAAATAAGATGATTTAATTCATCATCAAAAACCTAAGAACTTTATTCATTTGTCGTCTTTGTTCAAAATGACTTCAACAAAAATAATAATCATGAAACCGGATTTTTTCCAACAAAATATTGACATTTAGATTGTTCGAACAGAAACTTTTTCAAAGGTTTTTCATTCAGTTCATTTTGACATTAACATCTATCGTCAAAAACTAAAACAGTGCGATCGTATCCTAGTACGCTATAATAAAATATTTTGTTAATGAAATTATTCATTATTGCATAATAATCATTTGTATTATTTTTTCAAATATTGTTAAACAATATGAATTTATATTTCATATAGACATCGGTGGACTTTGAGATATTTTCTCAGATTCATTATATAATACCAAACTGGAAGTATAAATAATAACTATTAAAAAAAAAAAAGATGCATCTGTATATGTCCACCTGGAAAAAAAATAATTAGACTAGATATTTTGTATATATCACTGCTATAAATTAACATTTTTAGAAATGTAATTATATATTCGGATAGTCCATGGGTTCTCTACAATCCTATATATGTACGTTTTAAATTGCACTTGTTTGTTAAAAAGAAAATCCAATCACAATGAAGACATCCTAATCATCAAATTCCCCTGAAATACCATTTTTTCATCCTTTTTAGTTTATTTTTTCCAATGTGTTTTGAATATAAGGACAACTTATTACAAAAGTAAGTATATATTATGAAAGTGCATGAAATTTTCTATCACTCCGTAGTTCTATCAGACTTGACTTGCAATTATTTGATGAGAAATATTTTTTTGAGTATTGTTAGTGTATCCTTACTTTCACATTCTAATCTTCGATTAGTAGACATGAAATCATACAGCAGCCCTTAAATGGTTATTAAGTTAAACAAATAAGAAATGTGGATAATTATGTACTTATCCGCCCTAACCTTAATGATATTGAGTGTTTGGTGTTCAATGAACGGCTTTGTACAGAGATATTATCTAAACTCTCAAAAACACCTGGCCTCAGAACGTGATGAATAGGTACATTAATAATACTCAAAATATTTGTCATCAAATAATTGAAAGTCAAGACTGATAGAACTATAAGGTGATAGAGAATTTCATGCACTTTTAGAATAGATACTTTATATTCAAAATATATATTAAAAAACAAAACGAAAAAGGAAGAAGAAAAAAACGTTTCCATGGAATCTGACGATGAGAGTGTCTTCATTGTGTTTCAATTTCTTTTAGCAAAGGCAAATCTAATACAAAACATATATATATATACGATTATAGAAAAACTCTCGCGCTAGTCGAATATATGATTACTTTTCTAAAAAATATTAACTTATAGCGATGATATATTCAAAATATCGAGTCTAATTATCTTTTTCAGTAGTTTATATATATATCTTCATCTCAAACATCCAATGGAACAGAAATATATTGAATTCATCAAGATAGATTATCAAACACGAAGTACGCTGAGAAAAAAAACTAGGATGAGAAACAGTTTACTTCAAGTCACAAAATATGTCAAAGTACAAACATTGTTCAAAGTATTTAGAAGTATTTTTTTTTTTGAAGTACACCGAAGTACTTTGAAATAACATTAAAATTCTTTAAACTAAGTAAAAGTGTGTTAAAATATCGTCAAAGATCTAGAAGTGTATGAAACGAAATAAAAACATGCTGAAAAAATATATGAAGAATTGCTTTATTTACTTTTAAATAGAGAAAAATTATTAGTAAAATATAAAGAAAAAAGAGTGGTAAGTTTATTAGTTATTATTTGCTGTTTGTTGCATTAGACGAGATTAATTTTATCATTTCTTCTATTTTAACTAGGTCTCGAATGTTTATATTTTTCATTTTTATCTTTTTTAAGTAAATCATTGAATTATTTGCTCATTTCGATAATCTCCATTACTTTTTCTCTCATATACATTAAGTTGTTTATGGTCACGTTATTACTTTGAAAAATAAAAAAATACCTACAGTTAAAACATCTAGAATAAGTATCTGTATTTATAGTATGAAACTGTGAAGCAATTGATATTAGTTTGAAGTACAAAGATAATATTTTTTTCCCAAGAAAAAAAGAAAAACTAATTTTTGAATTATTGACGAATTCTACAACATAGTAAAAATTATATGAAGACTTTATTTAATATATATATATAATCTTTATTATCATTTAATTCGAATAATGGAAAGACAAAGATTCAACAATCATCAGAAAAAAATAAAAGAAGAAAAATATTTTGAACAGATTCTATATAAAGATATAATATTATGTGGGATTACTTTAACGTTTATTATACAAAGATATTTTTTTTCCATTATCTTGCTGATGATTAGACATAGTTGGTAAAGATGATGACTGATTATTTGTATAATGTTTATTAATCATCATTAAAGCAGTAGTTGTGGAAGTAGGTGGACTTTTAGAAAGATTTTCTATGGTATGACCATTAGAAGATGAACCTACAAAATTTGATGAAGATGAAACACCATTATTAAGTGTACTATTCAAAATAGTTCGTTGATAATGTTGTTGACGTGGTGATGAATATTTCGATGATAAAGCCATATCAGCTTGAGACTGAGAACGACCAAGCCGAACGTTACCTGCTCGTAATCTTGACAAAGTTGTCGAAGAAGATACAAATGAGGGAGAATTAAATGTTAGACGACTTTGACTTGAATCAGTCAAATCTGTTGCCTGAAAATATTCAATAATTAATATATATATATATATACATATCATAATATATAGAAGTAAAATACGGTATCAATTTGTTTATTTCGTAGATGAAATTTTGATGCATTACCCATAATATCATGTGTCGAACCTCGAAATGTCTAAAAAATAATTAATGAAGATATTTCAATATAAACTAAAGTATTACTCTAAGACTATCAGATGTCAATCGATTTGTTGTTTTAGAGTTTAATTTATTTTTATCAACAATAGTACGTAAATCTGATGTATTTATATTGGTTTTTAATTGATTTGAATTATTATTCAATGATTCTTGTTGTTTCTGAGAAATTAACGTTGATGATGATGATAATGATAATGATGTTTTTGATTGATCATTTAAATTCGATGATAAATTTATATTATCTACAGTTGGATTTATTACTGTTATGGAATTATTTTCAATTTTTGTTTGACGTTGATCATTTTCAGCTTGAAATTCTTTCATCATTGTTATTATATCTTTAGCTGGTTCTTTATCAGATCGACCCTAAATATATTAATCGATATTAAAAGACAAAAATAAAAATGGTTAAATACAACATACTGTTAACCATGAATGTACAATAAGTTCACCCATTGTTCGACGATGAACTGTATCATAAACAAGCATTCCTTGTAAAAAATCAAGACCTATGAAAATAATTATTTATTTATTTATTTATTTATTTATAGAATAGATTTAAATAGGAAACAACCTTCAGATGATATATTTCGAAATTTTTCCGAATCAAATCGAAGTTTTTGTGAACGAATTATTTCAAGTAGACGTCTTTCATCATTAGCAACATAAGGATGACGACCACATATTCTATTAGAAAATGAAAAAATTCTTTAAAATATTAATCTAATGTATTTTCTTACAAATAATACATAATAACTCCCATTGCCCATACATCACAAAGTGCACTATAATTTTTATTTTCTAATATTTCAGGTGCCATATATCTAATTAATAATAAATATTTATATTATATTAAATAAGATTATATATAAAATTTACAGTGGTGTACCACAATAATCATTAAAAAGTGAATCAGTTGAAGTAATACTTTGTTTTGAACTTAAACCAAAATCAGTAACCTTTAAAAATAATTTTCTATCAATTATTTATTATTAAATATAAAAATAAAATAAAGTATACTCGAATATCAAATTCATCAGTTTTATTTTTTGGAGAATTTTTTAATAAAATATTTTCTAATTTAAGATCACGATGTACAATATCTATACAAGAGAAAATAATTATTAGAAAAATAAATAATAAAAATAACAAAAGTACAATTAACTTAACTCATTTTATGAAGATAATGTAATGCACTTATTAATTTTGACATTATTTGTTTAACTGTTTCTTCGGGTAATGGACCAATCTTTTTAATACATCCGCCTAATTCACCACCCTCACATAATTCAACAATCAAATAAAGTTTCTGAAAAATAAATCAAAATTCAATTAAATATAGTAAATCGATTGTCAAAGGTTTTTTTTAGAGTTTATAGGAAGGCTAAGAAACACATCATTCATATTCAATTTGTTTATCCATCGACAAAAAGTTCAACGTACCGATAGAAGCTATTAGCTCAATTCCAGTAGGATTAAAATGTGAACTACAATGTACTATTCATTGCAATATGTAATCTGTTTCACTGTTTTATGAATAACTTCATCAAAAACTTACCTCATTGGTCAATAACTGATCAATTTAATTTCTATATACTACGATGGCTCGGACTTTTCTCTCTTGAATAATGAAAACCACAGATCTCTATGATGTTTCTATTAAAAGTTATTCGAAATACAATGGAACACATGATATTTTAAAGTAAATAATAGTTGTTGTTATTAATCAGAGGAGCATTGTTTTATTGTGTACTCAAAAAGTGAGTACACTCTAGAATCGGTCAGTATGTCCGGCCGTCCGGCCGGCCGGCCGTTTACACGATAACTTTCGAAAGGAGAGTCCGATCACGCTGAAATTTTCTACACAGTNCTGACTAATTCAATAATTCTATATCGAAAGATAGTGCAAATTTAATGATTCAGGCTTCCAATACCTCGGTTTTGATGAACTATTCTAAAAGTATTCTTATCATCAAATCATCTGATGAAGTCGGACACAACAAAAACACGTGATCTAGTAGACCAATTCTTACACATCCACACCCGCAAACTATAATGCAATTTATTATACATACAAAAGTATCTATAAGAATATAAAGGTCGATTGTTATTGAAGAATTATTCTAAATGACCTATTCATGTTAGCAGTGCAACGAACACGTGTTCAAGAAGGCACATGTAGATAAAGAAGCGAAGTTTAGTGCATGTCGTATCAAGTATATATACGTAAAGAATTTTTGTGGAACTCACATATATTTTCGAAGAAAATAGTGAGTGTAAGTTTTAAGGTCAAGTTTTTGCGGCTCCCCTCCCGTTACAGACCTTAGCAATCCAGAATAAAAAATGTTAGATTTTCTAGAGCTTTTTTTTGGAAAATTGATCAAGTTATAATTTTGAAAAATAATGAACATCATTATTTGCGACTTGATTAATATATATGATAGTATGTAAGATCTACTGTAGATATTATAGATTTGTAAAACACACTTATTATAATAATAAGAATGATAAATTAAGAAAAACGAATCTAAAAATACGAAAAATAATGAGCGAATAGCAATAATGAAAATGAAAAATTGGGCGCCCGTAGAAAAAAAATTAAAAAAATTGTTCAAAATGCAGAAATTGGAGAAATTTTTACTGCAGTGATTAATTATCCTGCAACGCAATTATAGTTTACGAGAGATTTTTCATTTTACGTTTTTTGTATTGATTTAATGAGGCTATAAAGCATATGTGAGTTTCACATTTCAGCCCCAAAGGGGCTGTGCTAACAAGCTTTTTTGTCTTGTTTTATCGTTCTACTCTAAAGTGAGATAGGGTTATCAAGTAGAATTCTATTGAATTGATTTTCTTCGTTCTTCATCGTTATCATCAAATCAAAATACATCGATGACAACTGCAACCAACAACAAAGAATATCATTTCCTTTTATTTTCACAAAAGTACGATTGAGAGCTGTTAAAATAGACTAATTTCTGCTTATCATTGTTCTTGTTACGACAGAAAAAAAGAATGGGTTTCGTAGCTTGCCCGAAACACTCTCTAAGTTCTGTATCATATCATTTTTTCCGTGCATCATAAACTAAAAGAAATAATAAATCAAATAATAGTTAAGCAATATAATTTCAATAAAAATTAAATAGTCCAAGTGGTTTTATTTAAGTTGGTTTAGATTTAGTAGTTTCATCTGAACATGACTTTGAAATAAAGTCGAAAATTCATGAATTTCGATAATTGATGTATTTTTCCCCATTTTAATAAATAAACAAATACATTATTTTGTTACATTCTCTATTTTACTGCATTTTAATTTAATTAAAAGAAATAAAACTTTTATGTTCTGTATAATTTTGTTTTTTTCTTTTCATTATGGTAACGACAAGCTGAGAAGACATACGCAATAAATGTATTCTATGTTGATAATTTGAGGTGTTATTGGCTACCTGTTACGCTTCTACTAGTTTTTGCAAGAAACTACACACTTCATCTTTTATATTTTGAATCGGTACCTAGTTCAAATCGGTTTCGTTTACTGAATAGAGATGTTGATGTTCGTAGAATGTATTTGAGTGAATAGGTCTCATAGAGAAGGTGTCGATGTGGATCTCCTTTTTGTGTACACTCATATCCTTGTTTAATAAAATTGATCAAATGTTCATTTTGTAATTTATTGAAAATTCAGATGCAATTCAATATTTTTAATAAGAATATGAAAAAAGATCATCCAATTGATTAAATCAATGAAATATGTTTGATATATTGTAAATATGCAATGAATATTCTATTAGATAATGTTTTCAATTTCATTTCAGAAGTTATTTCAATTATAATGCAGAGTCTTGATATACTTTAAAGAAGCATTATTTCATTTTTTTAATTTCATAGAAATATTTAGATGATCTGTGTCAAATACTTTTAATAATTCATCTGATACATAGTCTATAAATTTCATGTGTCATAGAGTAGAGTAAAGAAATTTATCATGGAACTCAAAAGTTTGATGCAACTAAAGAAAAAATATATTTAGAATTTGAACGAGTAGCGTACGATATTCTTTCCACTTATTATTTATTTACGATAAAAAGAACGATTCAACCAAAAAAGATTTCGAAAAACAAATGATTTTTTTTGGCATTGAAATTGCTCGATTATTTAGATGATTTCTTGTCATAATATGGTTATAGATATGAATATATAAAATGTGATGATGTATAAGACTTAATTTCGAAAAAAGTAATAGTAATTTCGACATTTCAATAAAAATAAGAGAACGTAAGAAAAGAAGAAAAAAATGTCGATGATGAGTCATCGTTTTCTTTCTTTCTGTTCGTTTATTAGTCTACTGTGCATTTTGTGCGTGATATGTTAGTATATATTGATGAAGAAGACGAAGCAGAAATCATACTTACCTGCCACGGATGCATTAACGATCAAAAATGTGAATGCTCCAGGTTGAGGCGCGAGCATTGCACATCGCTCCCGTTGACGCCTGCGAAGAGTCCACATCGGACTTTCTCGAGTGGAGAATTTATTCCGCGGTCATTTGCGTTCGCGCATTGGCCATTTAAATGAAAATTAAATGAAATATTTTTACCTCATAGGAGTTTAATAAACTCTCCCATCTTAAAAAGTTTACTTCCAATTTTTTTAAAATAGTCTGTAAATTTTCAACCCTCTTGTGAAACGAACAGACTAAATAGAATATTTCTTCTTCTAAAATCAAAACTGAAATTCAATATCAATTTTGTTCTATTGAATAATTCATGAATAATAACATCTTTTCATAAAAATACTCAACTATCTATCAATTATTGAATTTATTCTTGATATTTTCGTTTATGATTATTTTTGTAAAAAGTTTTCAATCTGATGCAATATAAAAGTTGTCATAGTACATTTCAGACAGTATGCAAGGCGAAATGAAAAAAAAATATGTTGATATTATGACGCGATTGTAAATAAACAAAAATTGTAGCAAAAAGTTAATCGAAATGCTCACATTATTTACGGACTTTTTGAATAGATCTAGTAATTATAACACAGAACTTGACTCATTCGATGGAATCGACCTAGTGGTATTCATTTTTTTATCCTAAAGTGATCTGCGAGATATTCGGTATATGTAAAGGAAGGAGAACAATGACAATAAAGTAAAAAGAATGAAAAATGTCTTGATTGAAGACAAAAAACGACAACTTTGTCTCTGACCAAATAAAAGTCAACTTGGATTCTCATATTCTTAGAAAATATTAAGTTTGGAGATGGATCTCTTCTTTGATAACTTGTTTTCTGCCCTAGCTGAAGCATAATATTAGTTAGTTAACGAGCTCCTCAATACACGAGCAATAAGCGATCGAAATTTCTAAATTGTAGGGAAACTTTCAATAGAGCTAAAATACCTAGTTTCCCAAGGAGCTAAAGGTTGACCAATAGTTCTCTTCCAATTTTCTACGTTCGAATAGCAAAGTGGTGCACTCTCTATGTCTTTTTTGCTCATTCACATATGAATTTTCCCTCAGTACTTCAGGAATGTTGATCTTGGTATGAGAAATTATGATTTATACACTTTTTGCTTTGATCGATTCGTCAAATTCTGATGGATCTGAGAGGAAATTCATATAAGTTATTCATGCAGATGATTCTAGTGGAATTTTCGATCTTATAACCACATTTAACAGTTCAGAAACACAACGAAAGACAGAAATATAGAGTTAACTTTTCATTTAAAAATGAGACTTCTCACAATTTTATGTGACAAATCATTCGAATTTTAGGAATATAATGATAAGAAACATCAGCCTCATCATCGGCATTTATTTTAAGTGCAATAAATTTTCATATGATTTGATTGACTACCACATAACGCTAAGAAATGGCATTAATTGTTATAAAAATTCGGTAGAGTTTTATTGTTGTAAATCAAATTATTATTTTTCAGTCCTAGAACAGGGCGTGGGTGTGAACGTTTTTTCTATGATATCCACACCATTAAATATCTAGGCTTTACATAAATAAACCAATTATTCTTGAAACCAACAGTTGGTAGATGTATAGGAAACATTCAGAAATCCCTAGGAAAGTTTAAATGGTTAAGAGCAAAACGCTTCATGTTCGCGAAGGTGCTGAAAGAATGTTTGTTTTTTTACACATATTTCCACACTTTGCATGGTTGTTTTTCTTCTTCCCAAGCATTGGCGAGGGAGAATCGATATCCTTTCAAGTGTCAGAGTACCATGGCAAAGAAAAGGTTTTCATTTCGCAAAATTTTCTTTTCCTGTACTCACCTCCACTTATTTTTTTTCGCTTATAGGGGATTGGATCCTCGCAATCTCTCCTCTAGACACGTAACTGTTCCCAAGTCACAACAACAGCCACTAAAGCAAAAATTCCGAGTTGGTCTTCGATTGGTACATAGCTACGCCTTTGTCTCAGCTCGTAATCTAAACACTATGACCAATCCTGTCTCATTAGAAACTTATGTTAAACGCTACACTTAAAGAAGATTAAAATATATGCACACAACGAATCTTGGTCATTCACTATTCTATAATGATATTTTTCTTTGAGATGCATTCCATAAAAGAAAGAACAATCACCTTGGCCAGTTTTTTCGTAGCAATCGTATAAGACAATTGATAGAGAAGCATGAATAATTTCTCTTAAAATGGATGTCATATATTGCAACAAAGTAGTTGGATACAAAAAAAACGTTGAGAAACTTTCTCGCTTCATTTTTCCTTTTATTTGGTTTCTCCCCTTTCTTTTTTTTTTTCTGTCATTGAAACGTTTACGAGCGTCCTCTTTCGCTTCTTTTTTCTCTTCTCAAATTCTGAAATTTTTTATGATTTTCTTTTTGTCTTTGCATTTACTGTTTGCCACCCGCACGAACAGATTCAATACACTGTATAATGATATTGGTGGTGAATGTAAAACTCGTGACATTAATGTTGTGATTAATGCTTAAATATCATAATTTCTACTTATTATCTTGTAAGCACTTGCGAGTGTTTCATTTACGAACATTAAAAAGTGTATGATTTCTTTTATTGTAAGGGGATGAATAAGCATCGAAAGAAAAAAATTTGTATTCTTCAAAGTTGAGAAACAAACTCAGTCAGTGGTATTGGAGAGAACAGAACAAATTATTCATTCTGACTGCTTTTTTCGATAATTCATTGCACAGAAATTATGCGATTTGTAATAGCTTTAGTGTTCGGGCTCCTCTTATCATATGTACATGGTTTGTTGATTTATTTCTTCTCGCTTCATTCTTTCATAGTATATACAATATTTAGGTCAAACTACATCAGTACCTAATTACTATTGTTACGAAAATAATGATTCTGTCCAATTTACATTATCTTTATCATCTCACTCTGCATGGCAACCAACATTAAATTGTTCTTTACAACAATGTAATACAAGTTTTAATGATAATAGCATTTGCCGCTCATCAACAACACCTTGTTTCGATTATCGTACACTCAATTATACTAGTTATTGTGCACCTGGCATTTTATGTTCTATTTTGGAACCATGTAACAATACTAATTATAACTGTGCATCAAATACTTCCGTATGTATTGTTAATTCGTGCTGTTCACCACAAACAGTATGTTTACCATTGTCATGGTTGAATTTTTGTAAATTAGGTAAACATATATTTTACTCAAATTTGTGAGTATATAGGAACTAATTAAAGTACCTTGTCAAGATTATAGTTGAGACTTGATTTGGTTTTAGAAATTTCACAACTGAATGGGTTTATTATTGAGTGACTTTAACACAAAGAATGAATAAAGGTGAATTCGAGAAATCTAGTTAAGGATGAGAATGAAATGGAAAATTGAAACAAGTTCAAGTGTGCATGTAATAGAAAAATAAGAGATTAATGCGATACTATAAATCGACTATTTATTACGAAAGTAATCGATTATGTCATAGCTTTAAGTCTTGTTTTTTCTTTTTTTGGAGAAAAACTTCTCAATAGAATTCCTACCGAAAGTAAAATGAACAACTCATATGACTGTTTTTTTGTATAAAATCAGTTGCTTGTATGATAGTAGCGAAATTTGGAAAAATGATTTTTGAGATTTTTGATTGGTTCACATAGAGACATATTTATTCAGTGAAAAATACTTCTCTGAAAATCAGGATTATTTTTGATTATCAATAAATAAATCTCAAATTTTCTTTCAATCATCCGCTTGTTGCATGAGAGTCGAATTAAAAACTGTTATACTCTGAAGTTCGACTGAAAAAATCTAATCAATCCATTTTTTCTTCATTTTTTTTACGTATAATCCGGTTTTAATCGAGAATCGATTTAATTTTTTAATCGATTGGAATCTCAATCAACAAAAATTCGATTATTGGACATAAAACTTGATTATTACAATTTCATGAAAGATTCCCCCTTCTCTGTGCCATAGGATAAAGAATTTCGTTCAACCAAGTTAAACCTTTCTTTTAGTTAATAGATTGTTATAAAGGTTTTCGCACCTAAAGTAAGAAATAATTTTCATTCTGCAATACTTTAAAACACTTCATCTATGCATCAACAATCTTGTGCATTCGATGATACCTTGCTTTTAGGCCTAAATATATTCAAACGATTCTTCTAGGATGGATTAACACTGGTAACATGAATGATGCTCGAGGTTGGCATACAGCATCCGTATTAACAAATGGTAATGTGTTAGTCACTGGTGGATATAATGGAGATTTTTATCTGAATAGTGCTGAGTTGTATGACCTATCAACAGGAATTTGGACAACGACTGGTAGTATGAATAATGCACGATTTGCACACACGGCATCTGTATTAACAAATGGAAAAGTGTTAGTTACTGGTGGATATAATGGAAGTCTTTCTTTGAACAGTGCTGAATTATATGATCCATCAACACGCACTTGGATAACGACCGGTAGCATGAATGATGCTCGAAGTGAGCACACGGCGTCCATATTAACAAATGGCAAAGTATTAGTTAGTGGTGGATCGGATGGAATTTCTTCTATAAATAGTGCTGAGGTATATGATCCATTAACAGGCATTTGGACAATGATTGGTAACATGAGTGATGCTCGACGTGGACACACGGCATCCGTCTTAACTAATGGCAATGTTTTAATTACTGGTGGATATAATGGAAGTTTTTCTTTGAACAGTGCTGAGTTGTATAATCTAACAACAGGAACTTGGACAATGACTGGTAGCATGAATTATGCACGATATGTACACACAGCATCTGTATTAGCAAATGGGAAAGTCTTAGTTACTGGTGGATATAATGAAAGTCTTTGTCTAAACAGTGCTGAATTGTATGATTCAGCAACAGGTACTTGGACAATGACTGGTTACATGAATAGTGTTCGACGTGACCACACGGCATCCATATTAACAAATGGGAAAGTGTTAGTTAGTGGTGGGACGGATGGAATCTCCTCTTTAAATAGTGCTGAGATATATGATCTATCAACAGGAACTTGGACAATGACTAGTAATATGAATAATGCACGATCTCTACATACAGCATCTGTATTAACAAATGAAAACGTGTTAGCTGTCGGTGGATCAGGAGCCGTAGCTCTGAATAGTTCAGAATTATATTAGTTATCTCAAACAAATGTACTATTAATAATTTTATGTTTATAAGTATATGGAATTTTACTTTCGAAGACTACTTTTATAAAAAGAACTATTGGGTCTAAATAAGAATAAAAGATCTCCTTCGATGTTTTTGCTACACTGTCATGCACTTGAGAATTTGATATAAGATATCGACATATTTTTTAACGTTTTAGGATATTAAACTTATTGCGGTGAATAAGCTTCAGTTCATATGATGATTTTCATCTTCTTCAAGTGTTATACTAAATTTTCAATTCGTCTTCTGTACAAGAATTCGGTTTTATTTATATCAGTATTCAATTTCCTATCAGTAATTCCAGCTGCATTAACAGATTGAAATTTTACTTTATTCAAACAAAGCTTTCATAGGATTCTCCTATCCTTGTTGAAGAAAGATTGCATTTTTTTGTACCTAATGTGTGTAATAGTAATTTATGGTTTTACAGTCGAATAAGTGAATTGTTATTCAATTCATTTATTATTGTGTTCCCGGCAGAGTGCAGCTATTTAAAAGAATAGGTCTAAGAAATGAATGTATCAGCTAAGAGTAGAACTTCTTAATGATCTTATTTATTATACTTCACGGTCAAATGAATCAATGTTATATATTTGCCACGAGCATTTGAGCTAGAAATTGTACATCTCCATGTATCATCCCAATCAAGTGACTGATAGCTAAGTTAAAAATTGAGCTAATGAGTGAGAATATCTTTGGCAAATATAGAGCAGCCATATTAAGCACAATGCTTAAAGCTTTCTAAAAAAATGTACTCATCTGTTATCAGACTCGTCTTTTAATGTAAATAACAGGATCGATGCTGATGTAGTGGATATAGTATGAGCAAGAGACGTTCGAAAAATACAAACACACACCTACATCCACACTCAAAATCGAAAAAATGTAGAAAAATTGAAAATCGTACATATTGAGGAAAAAAGTTGTTTTATTTTTGAAAAGTATTTAATATTTCTTGAGTTGAAAATGATCCGCCAGTGTATCATTGTCTGTATGATAATAGTTAAAATTAAGATGAGTTCGATTAGCCCAGATTTGCGAATAACCATATGTAATATCATGATAAAGACTCCATTCCGCACCAGAATAAGAATCATTCGACAAAGAACGTCCACCCATACCAATCAACACGTGCGTTATGCCATCGTCAACACATCGTTGTTGATACATTGGACATGTTCGTTCGTATGCATGGATGTGTGCAAATAAATTGAGATCAACATGATATTTGTACATCAAAGGCTCCAAATAGAGTTGTAATATGATTTTAATTAACTCAGCATGATCACGCGATGTATACATAGGTCGATGTGAACCAACAATGAGCCATGGAGTGCGAGAACGATTTACTGAACGAAGTTCTTGTTCGAACCAAGCATATTGTGGTGATGATCGACGAAAATCATGCTCACTCGAATAAATAACAATGTGCATTGGACCTACATCGAAGCTGTACCAAAAGAGACCATTACCATTCGATGGAGAATGAAATCGGTGAACCACGGGAACGGCACATTCACCGCCCGAGTCATAACCATAATTTCCCCTAAACGTAGATCATATCAGTATTAAATAAATGTGGTTTATATAATATAAATTATTTTACATTTGCAACTGAATTTAGGTCCCAAGTGTAAGAATTAAAGAAAATACATCAGTAGAAGCTATACTATTTAGCCTCGAGACGAGGTGCGCAGAGGAGAACGAAAGAAAGAAGAACATGTGAAATAGAAATCGAGATGTTCAACGTTGTATATCAGTCAAGAGTTAAATATTATGATCTGAGGAATATTCGCAGTATAAGTGTCATAGCTGAGGAAAATGGATTGAATGAATTGTGAACCAGGAAAAGAATAGAATCAGAATTTTGATGAGAAAGCTCATCCAATGTACTTTGGTTTGCAGACACAACAAAATTGAGATTACCTACAAATCTGAGTATAAGATATTTCCATATATCGTCTCTCTATGTACAACTAATCTATCATTAAGTCGAAGATGATTACTTACCATTTGGGTTGAAATCCTCCATCACCCGGCGCTCCACTTGGATCTTTGTCTCCTCCGGTAACATGATCATATTCATGATTTCCTATTGCAATCATGTATGGAACACGACTTGTAATTGGTTCCATTTGACTCATAAATGCATCCCATTGTGTACCAGTACCTATTGCATAGCTGATATCACCGAGATGTAACACAAATGTTATACGGCCTGACAATACTTGTGCCAATATTCGTGCGATGTTAGCTTTGGCACCTGATTGAGGCATCGATACACCCATGTTACCATACGCAATGAGAGTGACATCTTCATCACTACTCGATGGACGATTAGTGAACGTCAGCAGAGATGACCAACCATGTTCGTTACTACCTACTCGGTAGTAATACGTAGTCGACAGACGAAGATCATTGAGAAGAATGGTGTGCATGTAACCAGGATCGATAAATGTTTGTGGACCTGGAATGTTTCCTGGACCTTCACACATGTTCAATGCTGTATAAGTAGTTGTTGTTGCATTTGCGTGAAATCCCAAAGATGATGGATCTAGTCCATATTGACATTGAGGCGTTGTTTGATTAGAATTGGTCACAAATGAAATAAACATTTGATTAGTTCGGTCTCCATAAGCCATATGAATGTGTAGTGGCTCGTTGTAGTTAAGTGGTTCAACAAGGGGGATCGAGCTATCAATATATAATTACCCGAACACAGATTATCCCGAGAATAATAACGAAAATCGAGTTGTCGACGTAAACTAATCATTATCCATGACATATTACTTTGACCAGCTTGTACAAATTTGTAGTCAACATAATCGCAGACCCCTAACAAATAAAACTACTACATTCAAGGAAATAAAACCAATTTCTAAACTATACATTTTTTCGAACCCTAGCTTGAGAAAATAAATTTATCTTTATTATAATTTGTAGAAGAAACAAATGTTTCTTGTATTTTTTGATCGACTTCTGAAAATCGTCCGTACTCATTTCTGATTCGAATACAGAAATGAGTACAATAAACGAACTTTTTTCGAAGAAAACTCACTGAAATTCATCTAGAATCAATAATGGATAATCATATTTACCTGTATCGAGAGGAATTTCCGCGAAGTAAACACCGATGAAATCATCTTTGCATGGAGCTATTGACGGTACCGAACTCACTTCAATTTGTTCATTGTTAGAATAACGTGTTGAAGAGACTTGTAACTCGGCTATTGTTACAATTGATGACGGGATCAAACGAGGAGAGATGGTAACGATTCGACTACAATTGAATGGATCTAGTAAATCTATTTCCAAATGAGACTTGTGAAAGGGGTCATTGACCTGAAAATGTTCTTCACTTTTGATGAGGATAACAAAAAGAAGAAGAACGTAATAAATCCTGTGTTGAAATAGCATCTTGATACAAACTGTGTCTTTACCTCTCCTTCTCCGAAGAATAAAAGAACATGAATAAAAAATTGATAACATATCTTTGTTTGCGAGGAGTGTGCGGCAAGGAATGGGTTAAATGAATATAGGATGACTCCACAGATAGAAAAAATTCTTCTTTAACGTGCATAACAACTGCATTCGTCAGAAAATAAATAAGCATAAATGTACAGAATGATAAAAAATTAATGTCGTAACTAAAACATAGATTGGTGATTATTTTGCCTTGTTATTTTTAATTTTTTAAGAGATAATTTGATATTATTTTCATTGTCTTAATTGCAAAAGCATTTATTTAAAATAAAGGTATTTCATCAAAATTATGAAATCAAAACCTAAGAATGATCTGTCATCGTTTTGTTTTGTTTTGTCTAAACATGAGTGAAACTAACATATTAAAAGTTGGTAGTGTAGAATATCCGATTTCATCAAAAAATTTGACTTTCAGGTATAAAGTTGCAAAGCATTCTCATGGATTCTTATACAATCAATTCAAATGTTTTCTTTTTTTGCGAGCCAACCATTCATTCAAGTTTGAAATTCGGCTTCCTCTGTCACATAGGAACTTGTCTTTCGTTCTAAATACTTCAATCTTGTATTTTTCTTGCCTCTCCTCCTCTTTTTCTGCAGCATTCGATCAAGTTACGAGAAAATGAAACTCAACAGAGCTTGAAAACGAACAAAGATTATATAATATGTGCGCTTCCACAAATATCACGAAGAAATTGTATACCATCATGACTAATATAGTCATCATTTTTTCAGATTGCTAACATGGCAAATGACGGCTATACAGGGTTGTATATAGGTATCTTCAATGCCGGCTGTTGATAATTTTTTTCTCCAAACTCATAGTCACCACAGTTTCATTTTATCTGTCGGTCACAGTAATTAAAGATGGGATATGTCGACTAGAATGTGGGTGTGGGCGTGGATGGATGTCAGTGAGAATATTGGAATGAGTGTTGGTGTGATTTTTAGTGTTCTTTTTGTCGACACTCATACCTACATCCACATCCCAGGTCCACACTAACACTGAGCGAAATAATTATTAATATTGAGCATGTTTACAGTTGCTGAAAATCTACACTTAGTAGCTTGCTGCTGTATGCATCATGCATTTTAGGGATAAAAAAAAACTGCAATGATAAACTGCAATCAAAGTCTCGTTCGCAACTTTACTTTTTCACTCGTTCACAAGGAAGTCATACATTGTCTCTATGTCTTTTATCCTCAGTATTGGGTGAACGGGATTGAGTTAAAATAGACATGGCAGAGCAGTATTCTTCCAGTGTTTTTGAGCATCCAGATTTCACAGTTGCATAAGGATGTATATGCACAACCTGTGTAAACATATCACTATCAACTTAGCGTAGAACGAATTATGTTCATTTAAAACTAGAAATGTGTTAGTTCATTGTGACACTCAACAGCAGTGGACGAAACATATCAGTGAAGCCGATAATACTCCTAATAACATGAACTGCTCGCAAATATAGCTCAATAGCCTAATATATTTATAAGTCTATAGTATAGATACCTTATATATCCCGTATATAGCGATGAGAATGTTATCCAAATGTTGGGTTGAAGGACAGATTTCGAGTTGCATTCAAAGATATCAACTAGCGAGAGAATGGCTCAATTTTCTGGCGGTAGACTCTAACACTCAGTATCAATCGGGCTCTACAGAAGCGATAAGAAAAAAGAAACTTGGCTATCAGTGATCCCTACACAGAGGCCTTTATTTTTAAAAGCTGTTGAAATAGTATAATTCATCGAATGTTCGTGTCTTTCGAATATTACGTAGTAACTTGTATATTTAATTTGATATTTTTTTCACTTGTTTTCCTCATGAATCAATATACAGATTAGTCCTGAATGAGAAAATTCTTCTAATACAAGGAAAACTCGATCTCTTAAAAAAGGAAAATGTCCTAATTAAAATAGTTTGACGCATGGAAGCATGAATATCAAATTGAGTCATGATTTGTTAGATCCATCCAAGCCACTTCCTCATAAACAACCTTGAAGTATTATGGGTTCACAACGATGCCAGTGACGAAAATAACAGTGAAAACATGCAGTAGTTAACGACAAACAATGTGGGAATATCTGGATTAACGATAGAGCTAATTCTGGTGATATTTAGCCATTAGTTGAAAATGGAGAGAAAACTAGAATTACATTTTAAGATTGGCACAAACAATGATGAGACAAATTACTTGCGAAAGATATTGCTGGGATGAAGAAGATTCGTATGATAATGTATGAATATCCATAAACTAGTGTTTTTATACTTTGAAAAATATGAAAGTCAGAATTAGAGAGAAACAGAAGAACATCAAGACATTTTAGTTCCTTAACATGAGAATCTTCTAAAACATCAACAGCTTTCTTCTAACTATCGAGTTTGTTCTGCTATGTCGTATACTCATTCTCAACTGTTTTTCTCAAAACACATCGAAAAATAGTCTAATGCGGTATAGAAAATAAAGAAGGCTATGAATAATGTTTGCCTAATATCATCTATATCCACATCCAACGACTCACCTGTAGCTTTCCTCTTTTCTAGTGTTAAACTATTGCAATTTAAAAGTGGATTTCAATTGTATGTCGTTTAGTTTTTCGAATCCGATGTTTTCATGCATTCTCTTAGTTTTAGTGTCTTCTTTGAAACCTCTAGATTGATTATAAGAACAAATATCATTAAAAATATTTTTCTTGACTATCCTCGTCATCTTTTTATTATTCTTAAATTGTATATTTCCTTCAAGAAACTGTTTCCAATGTCTTATTTGTTTTTCGGAAAATATCCCCTTGATTTTCATTTAAATGAATCGAGTCTTTGTATTCTTCAGAATTTTTATTTCCAAAATTTACATTGAATACGGAAAAGCGTATATTCTAATATTAAATTATTTCAGCCACTGAACTAACCCTTGTTAGATTTGTTCTAGCTATTATTTTAGATGAGACAAATAAAATCGCGAGTGCGTAACTTTACTACTTAGTATCCAATCGAAAACAAAAATAAAAGAGATTTTTGAAATGCACTTTTTTCTAGCCACTATTTTTCCCATGATGAAGTGTTGTTTTTAACGATGGAGAGGAGCAGTATATACTTGTAAAAGAGTTTGATTGCAGTGCACCTCTGTTGATAAATGTTTTTTCATAGGTGATATTTATAGAAAAATTAAAAATCGTCTGTTAAAACAATCGAGGAAATATATGCAACTGTTAATCACAGATTGATCAGATACTTTGCCTGTAAGTAGAATTTATCAGAGCAAGTCTAAAGGCATTCGCCTTCGTATACTGTTCTATCCAAGTTATGATCATTGCACTGAACTTTTAGTCTTTGACAAGGGATTTTGTGGGAAAATTCAATGGTCAAATTATATTCATGAATAGACATCATGGTCATTCGAATGTTCTAAAAATTCCAGTAAAAAACGAATGCTTTTTCTTGAGATATTGAATGTTAAAGAAAAGCTAATCTTCTAACTTTTCTGTTAGATATGAGAATTTTTTGAATATTCAAGATCTCAACTAGATAAAATTTATTTTGTGTTGAAATATTTTAGAATATTCTAATAGTCACGAGATCTATTTAAGAACTGAAATGGGTCATTAAATTTTTCTACAAATGCCACGCTGGTGTGTGAAAGTCCAGCACAATGATCGTAATTTAAGCAACAAAGCGCATAGAAGCATTTCTTTTTAGACTTTTTCTAATTATTTCATCAAGTTTCACTTATGAGTAAAATATCAGACCAATGTGTGATTAACAATTGTATATGTTTTTGTCGTAAGATAAGCCACCCCGCACAACAATCTTTATATTATTGAAGAAATATTAAGAGACTAAATAATGTCCCCAATATAAGGATGTTTTGGCATTGTGTAACAGAACTCATTGAACCGTTTGTTGTTGGAAATGTACTTGTAGTGGTGGTGACATGTGATGATACCTGCGGCTCGATATGTTCCCCAGCCATGTTAAGAGTTTTTTGCATCCAATCATAATAGGATGATAATCTAGTATAAATACCGGGAGAACCAAGTCGTGCACAGCCAAATCCATAAGAAATAACACCTACTTGCTCCCAATATTGTCCTGTCCATTGAAAAATGGGTCCACCTGAATCAACTACATGGTCAAATAAATGTATTTTCTAAAGGTGAACTGATAATATTTCAAAACATACCTTCGCACAAATCTAGAAAGGAAATAGAAAATAATGTACTTCAACGATATTGACAATACAAAAAATTTTCCAGTAATTTTACTCAAGTGAAAACTTATATACTGAATCGTACAAGAAATCTAAGAATTTCTTTGAACAACAGTATATAGATCTGTATTAATTCTTTTCCTCGTTAAGCATAGATTTGATATCCAGAAGATAACAGAAAAAATGACACTCTGTATATCTATTATGGGCGAGGTTGTCCATAATTTTAGTCTTCATTGCTTGCTGATTTCGCAAACTATAGTTTAAATAATGAAAATTGTTCTTTCTAAAATGAAACTCGCAAGACATTCATTAATTTTCATATTCGTTAAGTTTGTCAAATAAAGTCTTATATACTTGTACCCTCTACAAAAAGAAAATGATTATAACAAAAGAAAGAACGTTTAGTAACAACGAAAATGAACACTTCGCAGTTCCTAAATCGAGTGTAATATTCATTAGTAATAAAGCCTTATATTGAGCAGTATTAAAACTAAGCGTAGTAAGTTTAACATTGAGATGTAATATACTGACCTTTTCTTTCTTCATACGATCCAGCACAAAATTGCAAATCAGCATCATTGATTAAGTCGGAACATGCTGGATCGTGATTGTCCATTACATAAACTTGAACTTGTTGAAGACGGTCTGTTAATTGCGAATGTTCTGGTCTCATTGTACCCCATCCAATAACAGCAAGACGTGTACCATTCTTTAGATATTGACTAATAGGAACTATTAGATCAACACGATGCACACAAGTTTTGGTCAAAATTGGGTTGTTGTGAAATACAAACGGCCGATCGATACGTAGCAAAGCAATGTCATGACGAAAACCGCTGGATGAGTAGGAATAGTTTGGATGCACATATATATGAGAAACATTTCGTACGTAAACCGTAGATTCCAATAGATTTGTTATACCTGCTGCTACAGTTATAATGCTTGGTCTTTCTAAATATTTCCATACGCAATGAGCTGCAGTAACAATATACGAAGCTGAAAGAATGGTTCCACCACAACCGTGAGTTTTGAGTGTGTCAAAACGAAGTGAAACCATCATTGACCAACTATAGTCTGCAACATCTTCGCCGCCAGCAATGCGTGAAGCTGTTAAAAATACATCATTATATCCACAACCACATGAGGCAGATCTATTACATGCAAACAAAACTGACGCTTTGGTAGTACTACTCTTTGTAGAAGTAGTAGTGGTTTTAGTAGAAGTTGATATTGTAATGTTTCTTCGATTTATAACTTCTTCGATCCAATCGTAAAAAGAAACGAGTCTTGTGAAAACACTTTGATAGCCTACTGATGCACATCCATTCATTACATACGAGGATATGCCAACTTGTTCCCAACGATCGCCTAACCACTGGAAAATTGGACCACCAGTATCACCTATAGAAGGAAATATAATGAAAGATATCAGTAAATCAATTCACTCTTTATTGAAACACAATGACATACCATAACATATTCCTATATAAAAAACAAAACAAAAATAGTTAAAATTGTCATTGAAATAATTATAAGACAATTCTTACCTTTACCACCTTCGTACAATCCTCCACAAAATTGTACATTAACATGTCCGATAGATCTTGCACATGTTGGATCATTGTGATCAATTGCATAGATACTCAATTGTTGCAGCAACTGAGGTTTTCTGAAAGCAAGCTTATCGAAAGTACCCCATCCGACTGCAGCTAGTATGGATCCATTTGATGGATATCTTAGGACATATTCTGGCGAATTGGCTCGAGGTGGGCGACAGGTTCGTGCAATAAATGGATTTGTATCGAGATCAAGCGGTTCAGCTAAATGAAGAATAGCAATATCATTTTTATACAATTGTGCTTGTCCTGCATATTTAGGATGGATGAAAATCTGATCGACACGTCGAATTGTTTGATTGATTTCTGTTAAATTATGAATTCCAGCAACAATGGTAATATTATGCGATAGTATGGATGAGTGATCTATTTGATCAACACAATTAGCAGCCGTAAGAATATAATATTCGTTTAGAATAGTACCACCACAACAATGCGCTTTAATATTTCCATCACGAAAACAATTATATCGGATTGATACAATCATTGACCAACTGTATGGAATAGCTTCGTCGCCGTTGATTATTCGTGACTGTATAAAAGCAACGTTTCTATTTCCACATCCACATGATGTATTCCTGTTATTACAGCTGTAGACGGCTTGTGGACGATAGGCGACGGTCGTTGTAGTTGTTGTATAATTGTTTGGATTTATGATCCATTGAATCCAGTCGTAAAAAGAAGCGATTCTGGTATAAACACTTGGATAGCCAACTGCTGCACAACCCCTTACTACATAGGAGGCTATTCCAACTTGCTCCCAATGATCACCTAGCCATTGCAAGATTGGCCCACCAGAATCCCCTAATAAAACAATCAAAAAAACAAAAAGTAAACTATTGATCTAATTAAAAATATCATACCGTTGCATGGACCTAAGGAAGAAAAAGTGAATAGATACAATGTTTTTAGTCATGCAAATAAAATAAAATTGTTTACCTCTACTACCATCATATACTCCGGCACAGAATTGTACATCAACACGACCAATATATTGTGCACATGTAGGATGTATATGATGAACCGCATAAACGTTCAATTGTTGCATCAGCTGAGGTTTCACGTTGTTTAGTCTATTTAAGAGACCCCAACCGATAACAGCCAACATCGATCCGTTCGAAGGATATTGCATAACATCTTCTTTCGTATTCATTCGAGACGGAAGACAAGTTCGAGTAATACGTGGATTTGTATCGAGGTCGAGAGGCTCGATTAAATGAAGTATAGCAATATCATTTTTAAATAGATCTATCTCTCCTATATAACCAGAATGAATAAAAATTCGATCAACACGCCGAATCGTTTGATTTATTTCAGTTAGATTATGCAATCCGGCAGCAATAGTAATATTTTGTGATAAAATTGATGATTGATTTATTTTATCAACACAATGAGCAGCTGTAAGAATATAATATTTGTTTAGAATGCTTCCACCGCAACAATGAGTTGTCAAATTGCCATTCCGAAGACAATCGTAACGGAGTGATACAATCATTGACCAACTGTATGGAATTGCTTCTTCGCCACCAACTATTCTTGATGGTGTCAGTGCAACGTTTGTTAAACCACATCCACATGATACATTATTCGAATTACATCTGTAAACAGTTGGTGGACGACTGACAGCTGTTGTTCTTGTCACTGGTGTTGTTGAACTTGTATAATTACTTCGATTTATAACTCGATCAATCCAATCGTAAAAAGAAACGAGTCTTGTGAAAACACTTTGATAACCTATCGATGCACATCCATTCCTCACATACGAGGATATGCCAACTTGTTCCCAACTATCACCTAACCACTGGAAAATTGGACCACCAGTATCACCTATAGAAGGAAATATAATGAAAGATATCAGTAAATCAATTCACTCTTTATTGAAACACAATGACATACCATAACATATTCCTATATAAAAAAAAACAAAAACAGTTAAAATTGTCATTGAAATAATTATAAGAAAACTCTCACCTTTACCACCTTCATACAATCCTCCACAAAATTGTACATTAACATGTCCGATAGATCTTGCACATGTCGAATCATTGTGATGAATTGCATAGATACTCAATTGTCGTAGTGCCTGAGGTTCCATGTTTTCCAGTTGATTTGTAATACCCCAACCTATAGCAACCAGCATGGTTCCATTTGATGGATATTCGATGAAATCTTCTGTTGAATTGATTCGAGACGGAAGACAAGTTCGAGTAAGAAATGGATTTGCGTCAAGATCAAGCGGTTCAGCTAAATGAAGAATAGCAATATCATTCTTATATAGTTGTAGCATTCCTGCATATTCAGAATGAATGAAAATCTGATCGACACGTCGAATTNTATTATTTTTCAAATAAAGCATTTCTTAAAATTTCATATATTGCTAAGTCATATCAAGTTTTACATAACTTTTTTATAAAATAAATTCGTTTTTCTATGCGTTGTCCAAATAACATATGATAAACACCTAAACAATTCGAACAAGAATATGTTTAGTGTTCCGAAAGAGGTTTTATTTTGTTCGAGCAGTTCTTGAAACAACAGAAAAAAAAATTCTTGAGATGAGAGTTTAATAATTTGAAGTTGATTTTTTTCCATCGAGAACACTTAACATAAATCAATAGAATAGATTTAAGTGCTTTTATAGCTCGTATAGTATAATTATTTGAATTATGACAACGTCCCACTCAGTTTTTTGTTCAAATGCTTAAACATGTACCTAAAATGTCAAGTTTTTGTATAGCTATTGAATATCAATTGTTCTTTTAGAATTATTTATAACTAAGTATTTTATTACAATTAAACTTGCTTTTGTCTAATAATAATAATCTGTCTGAACTGCTCGAACAAAATAAAACCTCTTTCGGAACACTAAACATATTCTTGTTCGAATTGTTTAGGTGTTTATCATATGTTATTTGGACAACGCATAGAAAAACGAATTTATTTTATAAAAAAGTTATGTAAAACTTGATATGACTTAGCAATATATGAAATTTTAAGAAATGCTTTATTTGAAAAATAATAACCAATGAAAAATGTTCGTATAAATTCACAACGACTATTTAAAGCTATCAAAAAATAATTTGTGTTTTAAAAATTAAAGTAATGTATGAGTACTAAACTCAATATTTAATCAACATAGTATGTGATTTGTAAAAATATTCAAATGCTGTGTTTTAAATCAAGATAAATAGAAGTGTATCAAGACTTTCACGGCATGCTTTTTTAAAAGTGATTTCAAAATTTAATGATTTGTCTATACTAAGACATATATAAAATAAAAAGTATGACAAAGATTTTTTGGCATTCTATATATCTATATATCAGTATAAGTTTTTTCATAAAATATTCTTAAATGAATCCTTCATCAGTCATTTTTGATTAGGACTAAGATATAATATAAGCTTTATTGATTTTATAAAATCCTATTTGACTTATTTTCTTTTATTGTAGTAACTTTAGATGATTTAATCGATGTGAATAATAATATACAAGATAAATATGAATCTTGAACCCTTGTTTTTGTTTTCGTTTTTTATATATTTATTTTGTTTTTATTTTACTGATATGTAATTTTGAGAAAGGAATTTAATTCAAGATTGTTTTTGTATTATTCTCATCGAAAAGACTTGTCATTGTGCTAAGTTTGAAAAACTTCAATCTTATAACATTATTACAGAACGTTTTAGTCTCATAAAACTATAAGAGAATGAATAGATATGAATCTACCGACATGATAAGTATTCACAGTAAATAGTTTATTATGCCAAAATGACGATGGGATAATTTCATAGAAAAAGTACCATATTATACACTGTCACCGCCGAATCGTTTAAAACTTCCAGAGTTTATAGAGCTCAAAGAGATGATCATTTTTAATCTAAAATCTTATAGGTTTGTTTTTCACTGTGAGAACGTTTTCTCTCTTATCTTATGATCGAAATATAAAACCCTATACATATTCAGATGGACCACGTTTTGCTCTCTGAGATTATGGGAAAACGACTGAATCTCAAGAACTTACTTCTGGATGTGGATGAGTGTGAATCTTCACACGATTCTATCATAGTATCATAGAGTCTTGTTAAAACACCTGTATTTCATTTGAAAAAGCGTTCGCTGACTAGAAAAAAAGACCAGAGAAAAAAATAGGTGAATTCGCCAGCAAAATCATCTCTGTTCCTAAACCAAACGACAGCATGAATCATGAAATCGGGTCAATTGAGATAGTAAAGTCAAATTATCGTTCATGTTTTACTCTGATAAAACTATTTTGATTTAATCTGAAATATGAGATTGAAACAAGTGTTATTAAATTCGTATCACTCGTATATTTCTAAATAGGTTCATTTCTCTTTCAGAAACTTGTTCAATACAAATAGTAAATGAACGAATACATATATACTCATTCTGAAAATTTTCATAATACTGTCAAAGCCTATTTTGTTCTATAGGATTGTTTCTATGAAATGTAGAGGAGCATTTAACGCTTATATTTAACTACTCTTTAGGATATCTGAAAGTATAACATTTTTGTCAATTTTAGGTGAACTATTACTACCATTTAGCTGTCTATTGTCGTTATGTCTAGTTTAAATAGATGTTTAGAAGACTGTAAGAATGCTGCCACAAGATTTAATGTAATTTTGTCAGAGATAATGATGTTTCGTAGACTTTCTTCTAATTCTAAAGCGATTGTACAAGACCAGTCACTGAATTTCAAAAAATCTCACTGTCTATTTGTTTAACTTGGCTAATTGCATCTGAACATTAAAAACACTTCAACCTCTAATAATTTAATATGAACTGCTTTAATTATTAGTAAATAAAATTTAACATCAATCTGATATTAATTTATAAGGTTTGATATTATGATCTTTTTCTATAGTTTTTATTATCAGAAAAAAAAAATGAAAATTAAAGTTTGCAAAAAATCTTTTTCATCTGATTTAAGATTGTTTCAACCATCTGACATGATAGTTTATTTAACATAGATATTTCATTTGACTATCATTAAATAAAGAAATTTATACATAAAGATAGAGCCCAAAGAAGAAGAAAAAAACCTTTTGTACACAGAGAACAACAATATAGTAGAATATTGATGATATATATCGGAATAGTCATTCATAAATCAACATATGTTGAAAGTGAACGATTTTTAAGATCATCTGATGATGTTGATAAAATATTTGATGTAGAATTTGATCCATATAAAATTGAATCATATTGTTGAATTTTAATTACACCAACACCTCCACCTAATCGACGATAATTCATTCTACCATGTAATTTCCAACTATTAGATTCACTATCATATAATTCAACACTTTTTAAATACGCTGCTCCCTAATCAACGAAAAACAAAATATTAAATTTAAATTATAATTAAATTTAATAACTTACATAAAATCCACCAATAGCCATTAAATGATTATTAACAACAGCTAAACCAACCTATTAATAAAAATAGATGAACTATTTTCAGTGTTTTTTGTTGCACAGTTCTTACTCCACTTCGCCTTGAATTCATTGCAACAACTGGTGACCATTGATTCAATTTTGGATTATATCTTTCAGCTGTTGATAATTCCGTTGCATCATCTCGACCACCCACCGCATCTATTTATTCAAATCCAAATAAAATAATTCGATTCAAAAAACAAACAAACCATTAGTACAATTAACATGTGTAACATTGTTTTATTCTATTTATTCCTATGGTTATGTCTGTTACATCTGTGAGTGGTCCAAATTTCTACCTCTATACTTCAAGACTCCTTTTAGATGATACTTCGAAAACAAAAATACATACATATATATCCATTATAAACAGCACAACCAAGATGTTTTCGCCGTGTATTCATTGATGCCACTGATAACCATTTATTGGCTTTTGGATCACATCTTTCAACTATAGAAAGCAAAACAACAATTTTTGAATAAAACGAATATCAAAATATTTTGTGTTACCTGTACTGAGAGGAGATTGTCCATCTGATCCTCCAATAGTATATAAATATCCATCAAGAACAGATACAGCTACACCTAATCGTTTTGTACCCATTGATGCAACACGAAGCCATCGTTGAATTGATGGATCATATCTTCACAAAGAAAAAGAATTTTATTGATAAAAATTAAAAAAAATAAATATATTTTACTTTTCAACAAGATTTAAACATGAAATTCCATCTTGTCCACCAACAGCAAATAGACAACCATCAAGTACAGCAACACCAACACTTGTTCGACATGAACTTGTTGGTGCTATATCATTACTCCATTGATTTGTTTGAGGATCAAATCTACAAAAGAAAAATGCATAAGAATTCAAAATAAATAAATAAATAAATTTTTCTTTTTATTATTTTACCTTTCAACACTGTTCAAATAACTAACACCATCATGTCCACCAATAGCATATAAAAGATTATTTAATACACCAACTCCTAGCCCATGTCGCCACTTTTTTAACAACTGCGAAATTTTGATCGTAACTGCGCGTAACTGCGGCGCATTGATCGCAGTAAAAAATCCATGTGTTCGACTGCGACGCAGTTACGCGTAGATGCGAAAAAAATATCGCAGTTGCGCGTAGCTGCGTCGCAATTTTCCGCAATTACGGGTCACAGTGCGATCGCAGTTATGCGTAACTGCGTCGCAGTTTGATCGCAGTCGAACATATGGGAGCCCACATCTTCGTTTTGGCATAGATGCAACAGCTCTCCATTCATTTGATGTTGAATCAAACATTTCAACACTTGCTATAGCATCACTTGAACACCATCCACCAACTATTTTTATTTAAAAAAAAATAAACTAATTAAAATAATTTTAAAAAATAAAAAAAATAAACAAACCAGCAGAAANCTGAACACCATCCACCAACTATTTAAATAAAAAATAAGTTAACATATGTTTTAAGCTAATTAAAACAAATCGAAGTAAACTAACCAGCAAAAAGAACTTCTCCTGATTTTATAGGTTTTCTTAGTCTTGTTCGTGATCCTTGCATATTCAAACGTTCTTGTGGTAATAATAAATAATCTTTTATATGCAGTTGATGCCACTGATGACCATTTATTGGCTTTTGGATCATATCTTTCAACTACAAAAAAACAAAACAACAATTTTTTAGGTAAAATGATTAGTGAAATATTCTATTTACCTGTACTAAGTGGAGATTGCCGATCTGATCCTCCAATAGCATAAAGATATCCATCAAGAACAGCTACAGCTACACCTAATCGTTTTGTACCCATTAATGCAACACGAAACCATCGTTGAACTGAGGGATCATATCTTCATAAAGAAAAAGAATTTTATTTATAAAAATAAAAATTAAACATATTTACTTTTCAACAAGATTTAAACATGAAATTCCATCTTGTCCACCAACAGCAAAAAGACAACCATCAAGTACAGCAACACCAGCACTTGTTCGACATGAACTTGTTGGTGCTATATCATTACTCCATTGATTTGTTTGAGGATCAAATCTACAAAAAAAAACCAAAATGCATAGAAAATAAAAACTAGTGTCCTACACGAGTACATGCTTCTGTAATTGGATGCTATACCCAAACTACTGCTAATTAGCGCCCAGCAAATGCTTTCACAATCACAGTACAGTTTTTTTGAAAATTTTATTTCATATGAAAAAGTATACTATTTACTTTCTTTCACAAACAACAACAAGAAAAAAATAGAGATCATTTCACAGCAACCGATTTAGGATTCACCTATTGCTGATGATATTAGAATAGAATGTAGTATTGGTGGTAAACATCATAATTGTGCATATCTGCACATAAATGCTCTTGCTATCAAAATAATACACATTCATCGTTTTTATAAATCATTATCTTCTTCATGTATTTAGTTACTTCGTCCTACAACTCATCATTATATATGAGTAAAGTTTCATTATAAACGAATTCTTTTAGTAAAACAATATCGCTTTCCACTACTATACTTTCATTTAAATTAGCAATTTTCATGCTGGGTACTCGATACGATGGCAGAATACTATTCAAAATAAAGTAATTTTCTTTTCTTTTCTATTTTACCTTTCAACACTGTTCAAATAACTAACACCATCATGACCACCAACTGCATATAAAAGATTATTTAATACTCCAACTCCAACACCACATCGTCGTTTTGACATTGGTGCTACAGCTCTCCATTCAGTTGTTGTTGGATCAAACATTTCAACACTTGCTATGGCATCATCTGAACACCATCCACCAACTATTTAAATAAAAAATAAGTTAACATATGTTTTAAGCTAATTAAAACAAATCGAAGTAAACTAACCAGCAAAAAGAACTTCTCCTGATTTTATAGGTTTTCTTAGTCTTGTTCGTGATCCTTGCATATTCAAACGTTCTTGTGGTAATAATAAATAATCTTTAGCTTCATCAACTAAATATCTACATGCTTGATCAGATCGAATTAATGGATCGGAGCTAACTGTATTAACAAGAAATCGAGTAATTTTATCGTCAATAGTTCAACCAGTTATGCAACGATGGACACAGCGAAATCGTGCAAATATTCTATTTCGAACCCTGTTCTAGCGCTAAACATAAAACAGAGTAGCTAAAAACGATCATATGTGACAGAAAATACAAACAATATTTGGTAGATTGGACGGAAAGCTTCACTCACAGGGTGTGAATATGACTATTGACAATGAGACAAGTTCGCAAGAATGGTTTCTTCTAATTTCAAGATCTGTTCTTTCATTTAATATGCCAACTCTTGAATGTGCAATGTGTAAATGAAACAGAGTCTTTGTGATAATGTCTATGTTTTTGATTGCTAAATAATCGTAGATTCTTGTATAAGTGTCATTATCAATCATGCGAGATCAAAACATTTGTCGGAGAAAACCTTACCTATCGTCTGAGTACAAATCTATTACAAGATGAAGAATTTATGCATCCTCGTGTTTCATATGAACAATTAAGTGAATTCGATACTATAAAATGAAATAAAAAGATTCGATGTCTCCTCACGTAGTATTTGTGGATGAATTTCAAAAGCTAAAGATTGAAATAAAAGGTTTCAAGCTCCATTATCGATAGTATATAAATAAATTTTTCTTTATTTTTGCCACCAACAATAATATAATTTAACAATACATTAACCATTTTCACCAATAACGCAACGATGTTCTTCTGATATCCAAACAGATAAAATCTTGGTTTTTGTATTACACTTAATTCATTTTGGCTCTCTGTAAAGAGCCCATATGAAAAACATTTTCTTCAATAATCACAAATAATTGATTAGAAATCGATTATAGTCTGAATTCCTTGAATAATCGATATAGGAATGATGGTTTTGTAATTATTTTTGCTGAAATTTTTGATTAAAATTGTATGATTATAATTGATTTTTAATCTATTACTTGTGATCATTTAAGACAATTTTTTTACATCGAAACGTGCTTATTTTGTGGCAATAGCAGTACAATAAAGTGTTATCTATACGACTCAATTAGACAATTATAATCGAAGACGAAATAAAAACAAAACTTCGTAACCTAGAACGGCATTCTCATTACGGAGAATTTAAGTCCGAGCAAAAAGCCGTAATAATTTTTTTTTGACTTATCATGATACCTCAAAAAGAAGCAATTCATAATATGATATCTTTGTCCATTATTTGCAAACGAATTGAGCCTTAATGAAAAAATTTTGATGATCGATTTCTGTTTGCTATTTTGATAATATTCATTTCGAACACAAGAAACAACACGAACAAGAGATCGATTATTTGTCTCACTTTAGACAATGTTTCCTCTTTTTCTTTCAATTAGTTTTTTATTGCAATGAAGTAAAAAAATTACTTTGTGTTTCTTTTCCTGCTTTATTTGTTCAAAACGAAACCTTCAGATACAACAAAAAAGAGAACAAAACAGTACGAATCAAAAAAGAAAAACAACTACAAGAAAAAACAACAAAAAAGCACACGAAAAAATTGTGCAAAAAAAAAGTTACTTTTTTTTACCCCAGATAATTACACCTTTTAGTCCATCGAGCAGAAGGTAAGCCAATTTCATAGAGATAATTGCTGTTTGAATTGGTGTTCGTCTTCCTTTGTTTTTAATTGGTTTATACCCAAGAGTAATATCTTTCAAATTTGCTGATTTTGGACCAATTATTGCATCTTTGTTATGTATTATTGGTAATGGTGGATCATTATTCAAGCATTTGTATACAAACAATTCCCATTGAAATATATTGTTGTTGTTAAACGAATTTTCATCCATCTTTCTACAATGGAAGAAAAAACGAATAATAAGCCCCTCCCCGTAATAGAAGCCCCTCTCATATTAGAAGCCCTCCCCCTATTAGAAGCCCCCTTTAAAGGATTTATCCAGCAAAATTTTCAATTTTTCCCAGCAAAATCCGGCCAAAGTTTGCAAGGCCTAATAGAAGCCCCCAGGAGCTTCTAATATGGGAGTAGGTTTACTAAACATCATGAGAAATTCAAAAATTTGTATTAATTAAATCATATTTTTGTGTAAATTACTTCAGCACTTTTTTGTGAAGCAAGAACAGTTTTTTTAAATAAAGATATTTTACGAAAAAAATTCCTTTATTTAAAAACAAATATTTCGCGTGATATATTTATTATTTTCGCAAAATATCCAAATNTTTCCATGATAATGTAAACTAGAACATGTAGAGTGGAGGTAGCTTTAACATCGGCGACTACAATCTACGATACTTGTATCAATCAGATCATAGCCTTCTTCTCAACAGAAATGAACTCTACTGAATAAAGACGTGTAAAAATTATCTATCTTCCCTTAAAATGTCGCGATGTATGTCATTTTGAGGAAAAAATTCAGCTGTTTCTAATCGTCTATTGTATGTTTTCAGGAAAGTTTTGAATCTTCCCTACAAATGCATGAAAACTCAGGACAATTTCTACAAAAATTTTCAGAACATGTGTATAAACATCGTAATTCTTTTCACAACTAATCAGTATGAATGAACACAGTTCTGAGCGAAATAGAAAGTACTCGTGCGTCTTTTTTAAATACAAATTATTACAGAGTAGCTTCTCTTACCATAAGGCCGAGTATCCAGCTTAGAATCCGAGCCGATTTCATACATGCTGACAACATGTTTTTCATGTTTATTCACTGTCAGTTTCCATAACATATCAACTTCATTCTTACAGATATTAAAGTAGTAATAGAAATGTTGATATTTTTCTTCCTCTGTCAGATATTGATCGGTACTGAAATCGGTTACTTTCACAGCAACACGATTACCATCAGGATCAATTGCTTCATAGACAGCACCTGTAATAACAACAGATATCGATTTCTTTATTCATAATTACATGCCATCTTTAAACGTATGCATACAGACCGAAAGATCCTTTTCCAAGCCGTTTTTTAAAGAAATATGGTTGCCTTTCACCATAATACAGTCCATTGATTAAAATTTGTCGATTTGATAGATGCAGAAAAGTTGGTTGAGATAGTAGATCCTTCGTTTCTACATTACAAAATATAGTACGAGACAATAAGAACTTTTAATTCTTGATAGAAATCACATACTTTTATACAGCCACTGAAACATTCTTATTTCTTTAATGAACGAATATTCCGACGATATCTGAGTTTTGATGCTTGCAAGTGATAAATAAACTTTGAAAGATTCAAAAAGTTAATTAAAGCAATTATAATAAGAAAATACTGTTTGTTACATTATTTGTAAAGACTTTGATGAATTCAATACAAATGAGATAGTGATGATGGCTTTATTTGACTTCTTCGCACTAGGAGTCCTCAAAATCTTACATTAAACGCACGGTTGTATACCTGAACGAAGAGAGAAAGAGAAAATACTTCAGGAGCGCAGTAGCCAAATGCAATTTCAGTGATCAATAGAAAAGAATGATTAATATGCTGATGAAGAAGAGGACATCAAGATAAGGTGATACTTGTATTTGCATATTAACTATAAACTACGACATTAATTCATCGTGATCATAATTCCTCGTTAATTATATAGAGAATTGATGTGAAATCGAATAAAAAAAAAATAAATTGAAAAGTTCTGGTCATGATATAGTAGACAGATATGGACCATTATATAACACATGAACAGAAGAAATGAGTCGAAAAAATATTCCTTAAGATATTGAAAAGTGAAACCTTGTTTATTATGTTACATTAAAAAAAATGAAAAAAAAAAACCTTTGATGCAAGTTGGAGATTATTATACACTGCATCAACACTATATTAAAAATTGTTTGCTTTAACCATTGAACTGACTACACGTGATTGTAAACTAAAGATGAACACATCTATGTCTGTTTTTCTTTTCAGTTTCAAGAATTTCATGTTACATTGACCTAGAACAAAGTTCCATAATGAGGACGAGAAAATGTGACTTATTTCTTCATTTTGGAAAAAAAAACATTTTGGAAAAAACTGTTTCACCCAATTGACACGTAGACTCAGCAGATCGCGTTTTGTGCTGAATCTTATCCAGCAATTAAAAAGCTAAGCTTTTGAAATTAACACTTCACACTAAAGCCTTTTGGCAGTGCTACGAAGTACAGACTGGAGTTCACAGTCAACCTGTTTCACATAGGTGTACTTGCTATCGACCTAGTATTGCTAACAATTCATTGTGTAAGTCTATTTTATTTCATTTTCGTGTGTTATTTTTGTAAAAACACTTGCTGCGTAAAGTAGAACAAGAAGATGAGAATATATTAAGAGAAAACTGAAATGTAACAGAATACTCATTATGTTATTGAAATAGCTAAATGCAAATCAGAAATGAATCAATGAATATTTAGTGGTATTTTAAAAAAATAATACTAAAATCTAAAAAATTTTCTACAGCATACATTAATATTAGACCTTCGCTAGTTAGCACGTTACTAACAGATGTATAAACCATATGAGTTACATTGTGTTTATTTCTCTAGCTCTTTCATAAATTACATCTATATACAATAGAACGTAAAAATAAAGCAAGCCTTGTGAAAGTAGGAAGTTTAGTGAGTTTACAACAACTTTCCAATGGCTAAAAATGATTCATTATCGACGAAACAAAACTTATATTTTATTTTGAAACTTTATTGTGTCTATGTGAGGTATTTTCGCATATCATTCTGTTCGTGCTAAGATTCTCATGCAATGGTTGAATAGACAATTTTTCATGTTAGCTAATATATTGGAAATTCTACCAATATTGATTCTCACAGACATGTGAAATGTTTTAGTATTATTTTGATCATGCAAAATAAAATATGATCCACGGAGTAATTTAACGTCGACCGAAAGAATTGAAATATAAGCCTTAGCATCTATCACTAAATATTCTGTTAATAGATCGTTAAAAATATTTCAAGAAAGATACGACAGTTCTGATTAGGTTTATAAAAAAAAATAGATGGATTATACATTTTTGGTAACATATGGATTGAGGAAAAGTGAATTCATGAAACCAGAACAAAGCCAAAAAATATCATTGACTACCTATGAATTCAAATTAATCGTAATCAATCATATTTTTCAGTTTTGATGTTATAGCATTCTTGAATAAATATGTAAATAGGTAAAATTAAAAAAAAAAACAACATTTCAAAATCACTAAACTACAGATAGCATTATTATTCGTCAACCACAAAGTAGAAAATTTTTAAGTTCTATGAAATGAACATAGGAAATTTGTTTGAATATAAAATATAAATTAAGAATATACAAAATATAAAGGAAAAACATTGGTTATATTACAAGACAACATTTATCTGATGATTTTAATGAATGTAATGATAATAAATCTAGATCAGAAGAATTACCTTTCTAAACAACTAGAGATGAGCATCTAAGTGAATGGATAAACGGTAATATGTCTTTTTTTTTTAATACTGTTATAAATTGATTGACAAACAGAAAAATGTTATATGATTATGTTTAAGAAAAATGAACATGCTATGATTAAAAGAAGATAAATATAATATTATATTATATTGATATAGCATTGAGTCTCTAACAATTGTAATCCAAGCCAAATGACAAACGATTCAAATTGGTTTAGCAACGAAAATGGAATCAAAGCATGTATTACGACATGCTTTCTTATAAATGAAAAACAAAAAGAAAAAAAATGTGTTATGAAAATTTCTGTATACATAGAAAATAAACAACGAACAAGCCAAAAGAATAAAGTGTATGTTAGTAAGACGTTTATACACACACACACACACACCAATAGTAAGATAATCATGTATGGGTCAGTTAAGCAGATAAACACAAATAAGAAAAGAGAAACTTTTTATGAGACAAGCAACAAAAAAAAAAAATAAATAATTATATATTGTTTAATTCCTGTCATTTTGGAACGTATGGTTAATATAATTTAAAATTTTACTGCATTTTCGATCGTTCTAATTTAGTATTAACAATTTCATCTTCACTATCCAATGCTTGTAATGCTTGATCAGCAAGTGATGTTGGAATATTATTTTCAACCCATGTTAAAGCATCTTCAACAACATCATTATCATTTGAGCCTCCAGCTCCACTACCGGATACATTTGCTTCACGATTTAAAGATGCTTGTTGTTGTTTTTTACTCTTCGGTGCTGCACCATTTTCAATATTTGTTGCTTTACGCATTGTTACAGAATCAAATACAGCCGATTCTACAAACAAACAAACAAAATAAAAAGAATGAACTGTTTTATCTCACAATCTATGTTTTTCAATTTCGATATAAGGTGTCGAAAATGAAAAATTAAAACAGAAGTTCGATTTTTCTTTTCGTTTATTTATGGTTAGATTGAATGTAACGAATTGATCAAGTGATTGAGCATTTTTTATTTTGTCGAATGATTTTTAAGGGAAAAATTTTCAGTTCTTTCAGATGATCCACTTTGCTTCCATTGGCTAAAATATTTCTGCAATGAATAGTGAATATATAAAGTAAAACAAAGACAATGATGAAATTGTTTTTACCTCAACAAATTTTTTTTATATGGAGGAAACTATTTTTGCTTAAATCTCATCGTTTATCAACAATTACTTGTTCTAATTCTAGTTATTAGTCCTACTAAACCTTCTCAATCATCAATTTTTGTTAGCACTTTTTCTTCAACTATCGTTACTACTTCTTCAGAAGTACCACATACAAAACAGTATATATACAAATAAAAATCAACGACATATACTGTTAGTAAAAAGGAAAAATGAAACACATATTCATGCTAGAAAATATATGGTTTTCAAACTAAAAAAATAGATAATACTGGTAAATTCGAGAGAATAGAAGATTTTGAAGGTTGTCAAATATGTTATCGAACATTTGTTTATATATCATCTACTGATATAAGAAATATATCAGCTCATTTATGCGTTCACAATTTATCCAATACAATTCAGATGAATGATCCGTATTTTTAAGAGAAAACCATGGACTCGGTCGGGTCAAAGGTCAATAATCTATGGGCCGACTCTCTTCAGTCTAGCTCAACCCATTGAGACCTTTGTTACGAAACCCGTTTATAAATGACTTTCTTAGATTCTGTTTTTTACGCTAAGTTTGAAGCAAACATTTTTGAAATTTAAAAGGAAATGAGCTATTGAAAAAAAACTCGAAAATTGCGCCCTAAAAAATCATTTGAAAAAATTCAAAACGCACATAATTTTAATCATCTGATTACATTCTATCTAACCATATATAAGAAGAAAAAAAAAGGTATTCTATTGATATGATTTAACATACCACCCCTTTCATCATCATCATCATCAAACTCATCATTGTCATTATCCGATTGATCAAGTAAAGGAACAAAAGCATAACGTTGATTATTATTTGATGGTCGAAATAAAAACATAATGACAAGAAGAACTAATGAAAAAAGTATATGCCAAAATGCATCATCAACCTAAATAAAATTTATTTTATTAAACTAAGTTATAAAAAGAAAAAATATATTTACCCAAAATTCTCTCCAATTTGTAATACATGCTGTAAAAACATGTGATTTTAATGACCAAATCATAAATAATAAACTTGCTCCAATAGCAAATATTAATGTATTTGTAAAATGTCTATAAACATTTAATTTAACAATATTTTTTCTTAAACGTAATGTTCGTGTTGTTGCAACTAAACCCGTAAATATCCAATAATAAATAGTTGCATCAACAACAGCTAATGGTATACGTGATATTAATACTTTATTATTTGTTTCATCATTTTTTGTATTTAAACGAAGTATTGCTTCTGTTGTAGCAATTGCAAAATAAAGTATACCCATAGCAATTACTTTTTGTTTTAAAGGTCCTAAACGTGGCTTAACTATACCATAACCAAGTGCAACAATAATAACAAGCATACGTGATACAGTACGTTTTAAACATGAAAGTACTTCAGCTGTAACAATAGCAACATGAACTTTATATCTAAAGAAATTTTTAAAATAATAAAAAAGAAAGTTTAATATTTATTAAGATTTTTTTTTTATGATATATTTACCCATGTCGATTAACAGTATCATATTCAGCTAAAAATGCTGATTTTTCAATCATACCAATAAGAATAACACCACCAATCCAAAATTGTATTTTAAGTAATTCACGCCAATAGAATGCACACCAAATAAACCATAATAGAGCAAATAATGCATAGATACCACACATAACACCATAAAAAACTAATGCTGGATATTCATCAGCTGTTATATAACCACCATGACGATTTTTCATTGATAGAGTAAGATCAACATCAAGTTCAAGACTATTTGAATCAGTAAACACTGGTCGAAAAATTTCAATAAAATAATAACCATCAGTCCATGTTTGTAATCTTTTTTCTAATTGTTTACTTATAGCAGATGCTAATGGTGTCTTTTTATCATTTGATTTCATTGTTGTTTCATCAGCAGCACGACGACGACGACGACGAAAATTATTTTCTAAAATATTAAATTAAAAAAAAAACGAAACATTTTCTTTAAAAATAATAATTTGAACTTTACGTTGATTTGTATTCATTTGTTCACGTCCTTCTTTTAAAAATTGTTTCCTTGTTTGTGCAGCTTTTTCTGGTGAAATTTCAGGTCCTGTTATATTTGTATATTCATCAATATCTAATTCTACTGGTGTATCACAATTAATTGTTTGCATTGTAAATGTTCTTTGTTCCATTTGTTTCCATAAATCATCATAAATTTTTTGTAATAAATTTTGTGTATCTTTATTATCTTTTGATGTTAATTGGTTTGTTGTCATAAATGTATCCGATTGTAATGGTAAACATCCAACAATACGACCAATTCGACCACTTATTTTAACTTTAACTTTTTCATATTCTTTATTTAAACTTCTTTTTATTTTATCTTGAGTTTTATTTGTATTTATTGATGGTTCACGACAAACAATTTTTACTTGAATTTGTGTGTTACTAGTTAAAAAACGATCTGTTACTGGTAGTGATCCATCCGGTGACCATGATAATGTTACTATTGAATCAACAAGAGTTGTCGATGAATATTTTATTAAATAGAAGAATAAGAAATAAATAAGAGAATATTTTTTCATGATTATTAATCTAAAAAAAAGAATATTAATAATTAATATTATTTGTTTTCTTTTCAGTTTTATGTAAATATATATATATATATATATATCGTTTGTTTTCTTCGGATGAATGAGTAAAGCAGAGTAGTACATGAGTATGATTCTCAGTTTAAATTTTCATTCAATCATTTTGTACATATAAAAATCCAATTTGATTGTTTTCTAAGATTTATTTAAAATAAAAAGAAAAATTCTATTAGATTTTATTCGGAATATTAAGAGATATATTTGAATTTGAGACTATTTTTTTTTTATATGAAGGCCACTCTATTCTATTTGATTAGTCTATATGAATCGACCAATGAAAAACGATAATCATCATATAGTTGTAATGATGTTATTGTTATTGTTTATTTATTTTTTTTGTTTTCCGTTAAACTACCTTCAAATTTGAATTAAATAATTTTATAATTTTAGATATATATTTCAATCAAAAAAACTTTGAATTGAACAAATCAGGATGAGTGGTTTTCTGCTTCGACATGTGAAATTAACTCAACCTCAATTAGCATTAATGCTTCAACATCAATGTCGAGCAGAAGCTTCAACATCATCAAGTGCTTCTGTTATCCAACATAATCCAATAGTATTAGACAATACAAAACCACCTCCACCATTAGATGCTGATCGTATGCGTATGCATCCACGTATTGGCAATCGGGAAATTGTTGGTTATGGTTTAAAAGGAAGACCCGAATATTTTGATTTGGTTATGTTTCCTTGTCCAAGTATTCGTTGGGAAGCTGATACACCAGCTATTGCTGAATTAAGAAAAAAAGAAAAAGGCGATTGGAAACAATTATCTGTTGAAGAGAAGAGAAAATGTAAGTTTGACTTTTGTACAGTTGCGAAAATGCACAAATCGATTGAATTTTTCTGCTAGGTTATTTATCTATGGTCTGATAGAGCTTGATGAGTTCATTAAGAATAAATAGTTTTTATCTTGATTGATTCAATTACTGTTTAGCTAGAAAAAAAAAACTTTAAAAACTTCGCATAAATAAGAATTGAGTATTTCTATATTTAGTTCTTTTAAATTTTGTTTTATTATTGAGAATATTGAATTATGTATGTTTTAAATTAATTTTTTCCTATGAATAATCAATCTTGTAGAGGAGTACGGACAACATTTTACTAAAATAGATCTGAGGAAGACCATAGATCTATTTTTAATTGGAAATAGTTTTTACTGGAACATATGTGATTCGATGCAGTTTTTGACACTGATTCCGAATAAGCTATTTATTTGATTTTGTCATCGAATAACGAAACAAATTCAACTTTCTTAACAATAAAAAAAAATTTGGAAAAATTAAATAAGTACTTTTGTAGCTTATCATCTGGTAATTTTAATCATATAAGATATTAACTTCTATCTCTAATTACAAGAAAACTGGATAGGTTTACAAGAATACTCACAGATACATGTTATTAGATATATTCGAGCTATGAATTTAAAATTTTGCAGCATAAACCTTGTTGAAGTTCGACATTTTCTGTAGAAAAAAAAAAGAAAATTCATGATTAGAAATACAATATTTTTATTCATAGAAAGTTTTGAAGGTTTTTTATAGCCAGAACACTGCCGGTCGAACCAAGATTAAAATTATATATTTGTGAAAAAATCGTCAAGCGCTGCTAGACCATATTTAAATGCACGAGAAAAAATTCACTCAATTTTTTCATATCCGTGATCTTAATTTTTTCTTTATATAATAGAAATGTTTCTTTTTTTATTGTTTAGTATATCGAGCAAGTTTTCGTCAAACATTTGAAGAATTTACAGCTCCAAGTGGTCTTTGGAAATGGGCAATTGGTTGGAGTTTAATTTCATTAGCAGGTTTAATTATGGCTTATGATGGATGGCGACGTATTGGTATGAATTTTATATTTATTGAATTAAATTTTTTTCAAGAATTTTTTGTCATTTTAGCTTATAATTTTGATAAGCCAGATAGTTTCAGTGAAGAAAAATTAAAGAGACAATTACAATTCCATATTGCTGCTCGTCAAGGTCCTATGAGACATCTTTCATCTAAATGGGATTATGAAACTGGTTAGTTATTTCTTTTTTTTTTTTGCTTTAATATTTAATTTTGAATGTTTTCTTTTTGTTTAGGTACATGGAAAAAATAAGAGAGGAATTATAACATTCAATTTATTCATGATGTAGAATTAACTGATTTTTCTTCTTCTTTCATTTTGTCCCCACTCTTCTTTTTTTTCTGCGCTCAAACATGTCCTTAGTTACTTAAATTGTTGTGAGTTTTCCTCTGTCCATCAACAAACAAAAAGAAAATGAATAAAGATTATGGTAATTCATCTTGATGACATTTTTTCTAAAGATTTTTCATTTCAGAAATGTATTCAACTAAGTTGAGCTGTTGTATTTTCTTTATACTTTTATTTATTAATTATTGTTCATCAAAAGAAGATATATATAAAGAAGAACTTTATATTCGTCCATTATCAACTGGTCATACATATTTTAATCTTTTATTTACTACTGTTGTTTCACCTGATATTCTCAAATCGAATATTAGTAAAGTTTTTTTTTCAAAAGAAATATTTATTTTATTTGATCAGTTGCTTTTTTTTTATTGATATAGTTCATCATTATCATTTATTTCCGAAAGCAATTGCTGATATTGTTCGTTCAAATGGTGTTAGTGAATTTCATGTTTCATTAACACAAGGTTTATGGAGATATGATCATTGGGGTATGCCAATTGTTGGTGCACCACCAGGTGCAGAAGTGTGGGCATGGTTTAAACCAAATGAACAACAAGAGTAAGTTTTGAATAATGAAAATTTTCTTTTAATTTTACGAAGAATTTCATTAAATATAAATAAATATTTGTATACTTTAGTATAACATCTCGTTGGACATCATTTTCACATGAATTAGGTGGTCTTTTATGTGCTTCTCTTAATTTTGTTGATTCAAATGTGAGTACAAGTTCACCTCATTATTCCTTTCGACCCCAATCGACATTACCTATTTCAAAAAATACATATCAAGATAATTCTCTTCTTCGATATGCTGTTTTACCACGAGAAATCGTTTGCACTGGTTTGTTTTATTAATTTTAATAAAATTTAAATTAGATTATTATTTTATGAATAGAAAATTTAACACCATGGAAAAAATTATTACCTTGTGTAGCTGGTGGTTCAAATCATAAAGGTCTTGCAGGATTACTTGATAATGCACCAAAACTTTATCATAGTGCTTATCATTCACTTCGAATGGATTTAAGACAAATATGTGCTGTAAGTATTTTCTTATATTTATACAAATTTGAAAATTTTTCTTCTTTTATATTTTGAATGAAGAATATTGAATGTACAACGACTCAACTTGAATTATCTATGGCATTGGCTATTGTTGTTGATACAACTTCATCAAAAATTGATCATAATGGTTAATTAATTAAGATTTGAATTTATTTTATTTTTATACATTTTTGTTTTATTTAGAATGGACATTTCGTTCAATATTTGGATCAAATGTAGCTCAAATATGTCCACTTAGTTCACTTACAAATGTTTATGTTGATTTACAATTATCTAAAGTATGTCTTCATATTAATTTTCTTTCAATAGATTGATTTAAATTCTTGTTTTGTTTTAGACACATTTATTTAACTTAAGTCCTGAACCAGATTATTCAATTGAACAAGGAAAAACACCGATTATTGTCTATGATTTACATAATGAAAAACGAAAAAGTACAGCATTCTCGTTGAATTGTAATTATAAGAAACAACAAGCAGTAACGATTGATAATCAAAATAATAAATTTTCACCACCTATTGTCATTCATCGATATGCTACAGGTAAAAATTGAGAACATAAAGATTTATTAAATAAACGTATGTTGTTTTCTCAAGGTTATGGTGTTCATGATGGTGGAATTAAAACTATTATAAAATTAAATGAAGAACAAAAACAAGATGAATTAACATTACTTTATTTCGAACAAATTCCTTGGTATTTTCGTATTTTTCTACATACTCTTAAAATAACAACACTTGATAATAATAGAACTGAAATAAAACCTGGTAAATAATTTCATTTAAATTATTATTTTCAATGTCTGTATTATTTAATATATATTGTCTAGATCATATTTCATATATACTCGGCAAAGATCGTGAACGACCTTATCAATTAGAATTAGTAATAAAAACAAAACAATCAATTTTAATTAATTTTGAATTTGAAATGGCTTTTTTAAAATGGAACGAATTTCCACCTGATCCAAATCATGGATTTTACATTCCAAGTGCTATTATATCAACAATTCTTCCTTCAAACATAAAATCAAATTATATTCTTCAATCACTTAATTCATTTTCCTTAAATCAAAGGTAAAATCAATCATTTTGTTTATTTTTTGAAGGAATATATTTAGCTATCGCCATCCGAATTCAATGATTTTTTTCTCTATAGATAATGTTCTAATAAAAACTCTAAAAGAATTTGAATTTCTATTGAGATTTGAGTAAACGCTATCGAATTTTTAATAAAAGGATCCTAGATTTTCGGACAACTCGTATTTTCGAATTTTAATCTGAAATTTTTCGTATATAGGCAAGTCAACTAAACGAGCCTGCAGAAAAAATTCACCAGTTTTCAACACACTATCATCGAGTTATGAGATTTTTCCTTTTTCATATAGAATATATATATATAACATACAGTTTTTGAAAATTTTATATCTTGAAGAGACTTTGTTCGAAATATCTAAATCTTTTATATGTAAGGTAGTCAAGTTGAGCTTTCAGAAAAGCTGGATATCTCTAGAAAATGGACATATTAAAAATTTGATAGCTTTGTTCGATATCAATAGAAATCAAAATCATTTTATTAAAACACTATGTTGTATCTATAGTCAAAACTAAATCATTGAAATCAAAAGAACATAGTTGAATAGATTCTTTCGTGAGATTCGAGTAAAATTTCATTGTCTTTTTTTTTTTCATGTAGTCTTTCATCATCATCTGATGGTTTTGTTCGACTCTATTCGGAAACATTACTTGTTAATCTTCCGACACCTGATTTCAGTATGCCATTTAATGTGATTTGTTTGGGTTGTACAGCGGTTGCTCTTGCCTTTGGTGGTTTACATAATTTAACAACTAAAGAATTTGCATTTGGTGAAAAACGTCCAAAAATTCCATTTCGACAACGTTTACAAGATCTTCGACTTCGTGTTATGGCTACTCGACATGCTCTTGCACAACGAATATTTAGAACAAGACCACAAGAGCAACAACAAAAAGAACATAGTGAATAAAAACATACAAATCTTCATGGTTTCTTTTTTCTATTGTATATAGTAATCTATTCTGATAGGATTCTTGTCTTTCATCATTTGAAAGATTAAAATGATGTTCTTTTTTTCTTACTTAAAATTGTCTGAGATAAATAAATTTTTAAACGTATTTGTTCTTTTCTTTTTTCAATTTGAAACGTAAATAAAACGATGCTCTTCTTTTTAAGATCATTCAATAAAAATGAAGTTGTTCGTTCAAAGATTTAAGTTTGTCTATCGACAAGTCAAACGGTACACAGTTACAAGATTTTCATTGATAATTATTATATTTAGATTGTTAGCATAAAATATTCAATGTTAATATTGTTTGATAACTTTAGGCTAACAAAAAAAAATAGTACATTAGATTGAATCTGAAATATAACAAAAAAAAATGTTATTATTCTGACTTTCGTCATTCAAAAAACAAATGTGAAGAAAATAAAACTCTGCTGAATTATGTTAGTTATTTATCAGTTAAACTAAACAATTGTCGCTTTAGATTTTGATTAGAAGTTTTCAAAAACAAAAAGGTTTGAACCAACAATAAGTTTTAGTTTAGTCAATGAATAGAGAAAAGATTTTCCTGTTGTTTAAGATAAGATCAGTCCCTCTAACTTATCGCATTCCAAAGTAATAAACGTTTTAATGGAATCTTTGAAATTGACCGACTAACTACTGGTCACTTTAAACGGTATGGAATTTAAAGTATTTGATTAAACTCAATCAATTGATTATATTTGTTTCTACATACAAATTAGTTTCACATTGAAACTAAATAATTGGATTACAATCTATATAATTCAGTCTGTACACCGATTTTTACATGAGAAATAGTATTTTCTAGGTATTGTCTTTCCACCATCACAATGCATCAAAACGAAAAGAAAAAAAAAACTATTCGATTCAATTTACGAGTGAATCGCCTAAAATGATTCAATTCTTTTGATATGATATTTTCCTCATAGGTAGAAATAGCTAAGACTACAAGATATCTTTGTTGAAAGATTTTAACAGCTTGATCAAATTTGACTTCATCGAAAGTATTTACCAAAAAACCCAGAATGAATGAGTTTCGACTGGAGTTTTTTCGTGTATAGATTTTAAAATCTTTAGAATATTCTGAAAGTTTCGGCGAAAAGGAATGTTTCCTTCCTGAAACAATCAATATACAAAAACGAACTCGGTCTCTTTGACCCACCCGTAAAATTAGAGTATATTTATAGAGCTCAAATGACTATACTTTGGAGACAAAAGTGTGTAAGATGTTCGAGCTGTTCATTCGAAAGCAGACCAAAGGATTTCTAGACAATGGTACTCGACTTTTACTGTAGTCATTTATTTAAATATTTTAAAAAGTTTATTATCATAGTGATAACGAGTTGAATAAGATTGGACAATTTTTGTTCTTTGTACAATGAATATTCAAAGAACATGGCAATATGATTACGTTTACAATTGCAACATGTTTGATATTATTGAACATCGAGGCATTAATCTATATAGTGACTTTCGTCACATTAAGAATATTTTTGTAGTTGTATTTTACAATTTTTAGCTACGTGATTATATTCTAAACACAAAAAGTTTCGCATCAGTGGTCTGTTATGTATGGTTGGTTCTACTTTAAAATATCTCGAATCTGTTTATAAACTACTAGTAGCTTGTACAAATATATCCTGTTTTGAGAATCTTTGACAATGATGTTTTCATCTTTGTTTGATAGTCGAGTGATACTTTCGATAGTTAATTCTACTTCATCAATGTATCAATAGTTTGACTTTCAATTATTTCTAAGTTGATTTTCTCTGAATGAAAGAGATTTTTTTCTATACTTTGATCCGTAGTGTTGATCTAGATACGTCGATTGTTATTGTCATCTAGCCATTAGTAGTAAATACTTTAGTTGAAGCCATTTAATAAACAATTAAGTCAGTTAATATCTTACGCTAAAAGTGTAAAAGTTTGCAAATGACTAAGCGAATATCAGAAACAACTCTTATGTCATTTCAATGTTGTGTTTACATATTATTCAATTTCAGTTGATTTAATCTAGCGCCCTCTGGAGTTAGATGTATGAGAGAAGAATATGATTGGATTATGATTGATGTTTCAGAATATTTCCTCAATAATGTCTTGTTGCATGGATGAGATGAGATGAGATGGGTGCTCTTAAAAAGAATAAAATTTTCACTAGTTTTTGTCGATGAGACACGCCTCTAATAATGAAGGTGCTAAACAATCTAAACAACTAGGTGTGTACAATAAAAGAGAACAGATCCCATAGATACACTCTTTATTGTGTATGTACAATGGGATTTCTACTGCTTGTTTAGAAAACTGAAAATTTCTTGCTTGTTTAATTAATAATTAAACCAGAAAAACAAGGATATAGAAATAATTTCATCAGAAAAAGCGAATTATTATTCGACAAAATTATTAACAATGAATCTCCTAGTAGCATCATCGTTATCATTAAATAAAATAAATCTTTTAACAGATAAAAGTGATTGATGATTGTTTTACATCATTGAGGTTCTTCATTAGAGTAAATTGAAGCATTAAAAAAATAATATATATATATCTATATGTATATATGTATAATGCGTACGAACAAGCAGCACTTTTGTTTCTATAATTACATAAAGTAAGTTTTGGCTTTTTTATTTTAAACTTAATAATTTTGTTTTTTTTTAGATTATTAGATTCATTTTTCATTATCGATAAATCTACATATCTTTAACTATGAATTAACTGCATGATATGTTAATCAATATTTAACGATGAGATAATTAAATAGTTTTCATTAATCTATCATCAGAGTGTCGGAGTTTAAATTTTTGATAATATCATTTGTTGAATTACTTAATAAAATTCACAATAGTACGATAACTCATTGTTGAATAAGTAATTTATAATTATGAATTATTATCAGATGAATCTTTTTAAAAACTTATCAATTGTTAATGAAACATATTTTATGAAACTATTAGTTGTCCTTGTGTATTTCAAATTAAAAAGTAAATTAAAATAAAACGAAAGAGAGAAAAATAATGTTTCTTTGTTTCTTAGGTTTATGATTGCTATATAATCCTTCAATAACAATTAGATAAATCATATGAAATGATATATATGTATATTGATAATCATACACGTTTTTTATTATCGTCATTAGATTTTTTCTATCATTAAATATCGTCATTTGTTTTTTGTCTTGGCTTACAAGCATTGATAGTCAACATGTTAACTTTATTTGATGTAAATATGTGATGTATACAATATTTGACTTAAAAGATATTGAGTCTGGTCAAATATTTCTTATATCTTGACAATATTTTCAATCGAATAATCTCAATATTGTTTTGCCATTTTATATGTCAACAAAATACGATACTTTTTTTTGCTTTTGGATAGATGAAAAAAAACATCAATTCAATTTTTGATTATTCACTAATAATTCTTGATAGTTCTAGCTGAGATTGCGACTTTTGATTATTTTAGTATCTGACTACGGGTACAAATATTATTTTAATTTACAAGATTGAATGGTGATTTGTTTACAGATATTGATTAACTTTGATATACTTTAGACTTTAACTACAATGCAGTCGGTCTATTCAGAAATGCCAAAATTAAGATTTATTATAACTTTAATAAGAACACAACAGAACAAACGATTGAAAGAAATGTTATTTTTATTTTAGATGCCATCTACAATTACATATCCAGTGATACGTCGTGATCCATGTGTTTCGGATACATATTGTGATAGATCTTCATCAACTGTTATTATTAATGATCCATATCGTTGGCTTGAAGATCCTGATTCTGAAGAAACAGCTCAATTTGTTTCAGAACAAAATATCATCAGTCAAGCTTATTTAAATAATATTCCTTATAGAACAAAATTTTTCGAACATCTCAAAGAAATATTTAATATTCCAAAATTTTCATGTCCATCGAAACAACCAAATGGAAAATATTATTATTATATGAATACAGGTCTTCAAAATCAAGATGTCTATTATGAATTAGATTCATTATCAAAATCAACTGATCAAGCACAAATTTTAATCGATCCAAATACATTTTCTGAAGATGGAACTGTAGCCATACAATCACTTAATTTTTCATACGATGGCAAAATCTTGTGCTATAGGTAACAAAAAATAATTAATTTTAAATATTTTTCTTTTATTTTTCTTTATAGTGTATCTGATGCTGGTTCAGATTGGTCGACAATTTATTTTATGGATGTTGCAACTCGTAAAAAACTAGATGATGTTATTATTCGAACTAAATTTTCATCATTACGTTGGACAACAGATAATCGTGGTATATTCTACTCAACCTATGCTGATGCTCTTAATAATACCACATCGAATAATACTAATTCAGTCACTGCTACAAAAAATGAAAACAAAACTGAAGAAGATAAAGATACGAATAAGACGACAGACAAGGTAAAATCTTTTTCAATTTAATACATAGACATTTTATTAATACATTTTGTTTTACTTTCTTAATAGACAACAAATGAAGTACCATCGGCTACAATTGAAGTAATTCGTACTGATATTCAAGAAGTTTATTTTCATCGACTTGGTACACCTCGTTCATCTGATATTTGTCTTGCTCGTAGTATAGATGATCTCAATGAACATTTTTTTTCAGTTGAAACATCTGATGATGGTCAATATTTAATTGCTAGTATATCAATAGGAACATTAAATGAAAATAAACTTTGGTTTCTTCCATTATATAAATCATCGGATTCAATTGTTGAACAACCAAATTGGTCAAAATTGATTGATAATATGGATTTCGTTTATAATTTTGTAACATCTCAAGATGATTTACTTTATGTAACAACAAATGCTCAAGCTGAAAATTTTCGTCTTATTACAATAAATACGAAAACAAAAGAAATAAAAGAAGTAATTGCTGAAGATAAAAATGATTTATTAGAAGATGTAACACGTGTTTATGAGAATTATTTTCTTGTTCGCTATCTTTCACATGTTAAATCAATTTTATATCTATACGAAATGGAAACTGGACGACAATTACGTAAATTTGATTTGCCTATTGGAAATATATCAGCTTGGTAAGATAAATAATAATAATAATAATAATAATAATAATAAAAAGAAAAGAACAATTATAATCTTTTTTATTTTTAAGGGGTGATCAAAATGAATCAGAAATATTTATACGTCTTGAATCATTTCTTTCTCCAACAACAATTTATACATGTGATCTTGCTCAATCACTTGATGCTTCAGTAACAATTTTTAAACGAATTGAATTTAACGGAGTTGATCTTAATGCATTAACTACTGAACAAGTTTTTGTTGATTCAAATGGATTAGATCCATCAAATCCAGTTAAAGTACCAATGTTTTTAGTTCATAAAAAAGATTTACAAAAAAATGGTCAAAATCCAACACATTTATATGTTTATGGTGGATTTTCAATCGGAATAAAACCTTTCTTTTCAGTTGCTGCACTTCTTTGGATTCATCATTTTAATGGAGTTTTCGCTGTAGTTAATGCTAGAGGTGGTGCAGAATATGGTGAAGTATGGCATAAAGATGGATACAAACATAAAAAAAAGAATACTTATCTTGATTTATGTGCTTCTACTGAATGGCTTATTGAAAATAAATATACTAAATCAGAAAAAGTATCGATAACAGGTGGAAGTAATGGAGGATTAACTGTAGCAGCTTGTGCTAATATGCGACCAGATTTATTTGCTTGTGTTGTAATTCAAGTTGGTGTACTCGATTTATATCGATATCATAAATTTACTATTGGTATGTATGCATATGTATGTATTAAGAGATAGGAATATTTTTTTTTTTCCTAGGATATTATTGGTGCGGTGAATATGGTAATCCTGGTTTACCTGAAGAATTTGAATGGGTTAAAACAATATCACCATTGCATAATATTCCGACAAATCCAACAAAATATCCAGCAATTCTTGTGATAACAGCTGATCATGATGATCGTGTTGTACCAGCTCATTCATTTAAATATATATCGCAATTACAATATCAATTAGGTGAAACAATGAATCGTTTAGGTCGCCCATTGATTTCAAGAATTGATGTTCGAGCTGGACATGGTAAATTTTCGTTTCTTTTTATAGTTTGATAAATATTTCTCCGAATTCTTTTCTTTTAGGTGCAGGAAAACCGACAATCAAACGAATTGAAGAATTGTCGGATATTTATTCGTTCGTTTCTTATACATTGGATGCTCAGTGGCATGACTGATGAAACTAAAGACATTTTTCTTTTCTTTTGATGTTTCTTGATTGTCGTTAGAACTACACCCTTTTCGCATAAAAACAAAAACATACAAAATTCATCTTTTTCAATAAAAGTAATAAATCTTGTTTTAGAAATGTCTTCTCCCCGTGAAAAACTTATTAAAAATCTTCAATCTCTATGTAATGAACATGGTTTAACGTGGGATGATCAATTATCAAATGATATTCCACGAAAATGGCGTGTCCATGGTGATATGCTTCTTCTTCCTTCAAATCGTTGTTTTGTTGATTCTCGATGGATAAATAATATTCGTTTGGTTTTTTTGCTTTCGATTAAATCTTTTTCGTTTATTCAAATATTGATTTTTTAGCATCTGATCAATTCTGGTCAACTGTTGCTCGATCATTTGGATCATCAATTAAACGTATTGCTTTCGAAGGTCCTATTAAAAATGATGATTTTCGATCACCAAATACACGTTTAGTATTAGGAAATGATCCATGGATAAATTTAGTTGAAAATGGCATAAAGTAGGTCGGTTGTTTTATTTTATTTTCATTCATATGAAAATATTGTTTTATTTAAGATTTTCATATAATGTTGATAAAAGTATGTTTTGTGCTGGAAATAATACAGAACGAATGAGAATGGGACAAATATCATGTGTTAATGAAACAATTGTTGATCTTTATGCAGGCATTGGATATTTTACTCTTCCATTTCTTGTTCATGGTCATGCGCGTCATGTTTATGCTTGTGAATGGAATCCAGATTCAATGGAAGCACTTCGCCGTAATCTTCAAGCAAATCATATTGATGAAGATCGTTATACACTTTTATTAGGAGACAATCAATTGGTAATTTCGTTTTTGTTAAATTATTTTATATCGTTTATATTTTAGACATGTCCTGTTGGCATAGCTGATCGATGTAATCTTGGATTAATTCCATCATCTGAAGCATGTTGGCCTGTTGCATGTCGAGCACTTCAAGCTAAAGGTGGCCGTCTTCATGTACATGGTGTTGTTAATACAAAACAAGATACACATGATCAATGGAGTGAAAATGTTAGATATCGTATTGAAACACTTATGAGAGATATACATCATGGAGAAAACAATTATAAATGTGAAATCGAACATGTTGAACGAGTTAAACCATATGGACCTCATTTAGATCATCTTGTTGTTGATTTATTATTAACTAAAATCTCGTCATCATCCTGAGAAAAAAACAACAATTTCTCAAAGAAATTTTCAGTTTATTTTTAATTGAAAATATATGATTGCTAAAACTGTTTGTTTAAAGAAATAATTTTCATTTCTCTACAAAAGAATATTTTATCACTTTTAATCATTCACTTAATTCAAAACAAACATCGCTAAATCCTTGACAATTACTGGTCGTAGAACAGTTATCGGTATACAACGATAGAATGACAGTCAAGAGCGGATCTGTGTGTAAGTAAAGAAAAGATCTGTACTCACATCCATTTCCAAATCTAGAAATTATATTAAAAAAATGCAGATGCAAAAATACATGTGTTTGGTATATTTTACCGATGAGGTAAGATCCAGAGATGTTCCTTTTCGATTTTACTGATTCTTTGTCTATGGACGTTACACAGTATTCTATTAGCGACCATAGAAGGATCTGAGTTCCTATTGAGACTTGATAGAAGAATTGTTTAATATTGAATTTGTCTACATGCAAGCAATGCCAAGTTTTCAGAAAATCTAGAATATCTGGCATATAGACGGATTGAAAATCCAATAGCTCTATCAGAACTCAATAGGAACTCAAGTTCTTTGAAATTTTTTCACTAGAATACTATACTGATGCTATCTGTATAGAAGGAAACAATCTCGTGTAGTGTCCTTTTGAGTCGTTAAAATGTAATTGTTTTCGTTCTATCGTTGAACAATTTTGGCACTGATCGTACCATCAATGTACATTCTCTGTGGACTACCTATAGACCAATTTTCAGACGTTTAGCTCGTATAGGGACTAAGATTCGAGGGGAATACCTTTGGTCAACAGTGTAGAANGATGCTCGTAATGTTAATGGACCTGTACTTACAAGTAATGTAACAATATGAAATAAAAATGGTAAATGTGATGCAACATCAAGCGAATTATTAAATGAAAGCATTAATAAATAACGAAGTAATATAGCAATATCATCCCATATTAAATGTTGTTCTAATGTTGGTGTTGGTGATAAACATGTTTTTTCAATTAAACGACAAAGACGTCCAATAACTTTTCGTGAAAATAATAAAGCATTTGAGCTAGCTAAAGCAACAGCTGTATCAGCTAAAATTTCAGCTTGTAATGATCCAAGACCACCAAGTACAGACCGTTTTATAAAACAATCTAAAACAATATCCAATAAGTCACTAACTTGTCCAATATGTGACCAAATTTTTGCTTGTATTGATGGATACATATCATCTTCTTCAATAGTTAATGTTATTAATTTATCAAGTATCATTGAAACTTTTGCTCGTTTATTATCATCATTTTGTTTACAAAATCTTGTTAAATTTGGTAACCATGTTGTCATATATTCCAAACAAAGATGTTTCAATTCAATAGTTGAATTTCTAAAACCTTCAACACATTCTTCTAAAAATTCTAATGTTAAATGTGCTTCTTTTAATGCTAATTTTTCTGATATAGTTTTGATAAATATAGTATTATTTGATGGAATACAAAGGCCAGATGATTCAAGTAATTGACCTTCAATTCGTAAATCAAATGTTTGTGTTAATGCACATAAAAGATTATAAGCTGCAGAACGTAATGATGGATCAAGTGAACCTAAATTTAATAATGCAATATTTAATAATGTTCCTGGAACATCTTTTGGACGAATTTTATTATGAATTTGTATTGAATCAGGTTGAGCAAGTTCCTTTAAAAGAAAATAAATATTTAGTTTAAAAAAAAAAAAAAAAGGAAATAAAATAAAATAAATTACCCATCTTGTTCTTATATGAATAATCGCTTGAACAATATTATCACAATCATTATGAATAAATGATAATGGACCGGTTTCATTAGCTATTGTCAATGTAAATTGATTATCATCAACAAGACAAACTTCTTCAATTTCTGATGCATAATAAACATCATTAAGTAAAACACTATGACCAAGAACTTTTGTTTTTTCACTTGATGTTACTTGTATAGNATTTTTTCTATTTTCATCTAATTGTTCATGTTGTTCAATACGTGATGGATCAACTTCATATGAACGTAAATCAGCTATAAACATTTTAGCTAATATTGGTGCAAATAAATTATATAAATAATGTGAACCATAAAGTTTAAAACAAAATGACATTATTTTTGTTGGTAAACCATTTCCACGTAATATTGTTTGATAACAATCAGCCATTTCAACTTCTTTTGCAAACATATTTAATAATAATTGATGAAGTAAATGTTTCGCATCAAATATTGTTACAAATACACGAGCTAATTCATCCTAAAATATAAAAGTAATATTTTTGAATTTTAATTATTTACATAGAAAAATAACTATTCTTACATGTATGAAGTAAATTCATGATAATAAAAAAAAAAGAACTTTTCTTATTTTCAATATTAACAGAACAAAAAGATGAAATCATTTACCAATATATTCTATGTTTTTCTTCAGATTCTATTTGAAATATTTATCGAACTTGAACTCAATCAACTTATATAAAATATGAATGAATATAAGCATTTTTCAGCTTGAAATTCTATATAGATTAATCGATTAAGTGAGTACAAAGATGAAATTGATACTATTATGGATTATCGATCAATTGATCTAATCTATTCAAATTAGTAATCTAAAGTGATTGAGAATAGCTATCCTCTTAAACTTGACAGACAGTTTATAGACAAATGCTCAACATTTTCGGAGTCACGTCGTCAAAAATTGAAAGAGTTAGTCACTCGAATCCTTCTCAAATCAAGACCTATGATAACTTCGGCACTCAAAGAATCGCTAACATTTACTTAAAAAACCATCAGTTTTTAAAAATTATTTCTGGTATACATTTTGTCAACTTATCATAGTGATCAAATTATCTTTAGCTTAGTTATATTGGCTATTTTGTTTGATCGTTGCGTTGCATACTCATGCTCAACTACTGATTGATTCACCAATATTCAAGTCTAACTTATGAAAATTAATTTTTATATTTAAAGACAAAACTTAGTATTGATTGTAAATACTTGCTCAATAGTCTTTTAATCCTTTATATAATTATATATATATATATATATATATATTTATTAAGAAAGATTTAAAATTTTTATTATTGTAATATAAATTTTAATATTAATAAAAATGAAAACTAACCATATATTGTGGAGAAACAACATTAGCTAATGCCATAGCAATAGGTAATTCTCCTTTATCTCCAATCATCGTAACAAGTTCAACAAGTCGTTCAAATCGATCAGCAAGAACAGTTTCAGCTAATGTATCAAATTCTGTTCCTTGTTGAAGAATTTGTGTTAAAACTTCCATAAAAGCTGCTCGAGTTTGAGGATCACGATGATAACCCAAAGCTAAACAAATAATAATTTTTGTTTTCATATAAAAACGAAAAAGAAAAAGAAAATATATAAAAATTTTAAACATACCAATACTTCTCATAAGACCACTTTCAATATTTGCTGCAAGTAAATTAGACATAGCAACAATGGTTGAATTTCTTAATGATTGTTGTTTTTGTTGTAATTGATTGATTAATTGTGATTGTTGTTGTTGTTGTGTTTGACTTGTTATATTTGATGTTGCTCTTTCATTATTAGATTGATGATGATCAGATAATGAACTTTGATCATCATTTAGATCATCACCACAATCATTTAATAAATTCATAAATAAAGTAAAATATTTAAGAAATAATTGTGATTTAGCTTCCATTAAATCTCCTCGATCACTTTCTTCGGGTTGTAATGGAAGTGAATGAAGTAATGAAGCAACAGCTTCCATTGATGCTTGATCTAATTCACGTGTTAAATGTTGATATTGATCAACAACTAATTGAGATGTTGTTACATTAACACCACTACCAACACTAACACCAGCGGCTGATTGACCTAATGCATGAACCTAAATTAAATATTAAAAAATGAAAAAAAAAAAACAAAAAAAAATTTTTTTTCAATTTTACTTGATTAAATTGATGTGAATTTCCCATAATCCAATCAGTTAAATATTCAACAAGTTTATTTCGAAATTTAATTTCTTGTCTAAATGATAAATCATCACGTCTTTTCATCATTGATTCTACAAGTTGACAAACACGTATTCGAATTGTAACAGCACCAACACTTGTATCCAAATGTCGTGCATAACGAACTATATTTAAAACAAGTTGTTCTAAAATAATAACATTCGCTAATGGATTTTCATTAGTTTGTTGTGGTCCACCGCGTCCACTTCCAGCTGTTGAACTTGAATTTGGATCATTTGATGATCCACCAACAACAGATGTTGATGAACCTGTATTATTACCTGGTACAACTAATGTATTGGATGAACCTGTTGTTGTTGTTGGTCCTTCTAAGGAATTTTGAGCTGCTTGTTGTGCTTTCATTTCAAATACAGAACGCATTATAACAATAACATTATCAATAAATTGTGTATTTTGTTCTGAACATATAACTTGACCATTAGCATCAAAAAATTTATCAACTTGAATTTTAATTTGATCAAATAATATTGGATAACATAATGGATTAAGTTCATGACCCAATAAATCTTGAATATGACGTTGAATTTGTAAACCAAATTTTTCATTTTGACAAACCAAATATTTTAAACAATCACCAATAAATCTATTCAATAAAATATTATTTATTAATTATTAAATAAATAATAAAATCTTACTGTGTTACTGGACAATAATGAAGATCAGAACTAACTGGTTCCATAGATGTTCGTCGAGTATCAGCAGGTATTCCATGTTGACTAGAAAAATATGTTCGAAATTTATATTTGATCAAAATAAGAAAAAATATTGTAATATCTGTCAAAACTCGACCAAGTATTATATCATATGTTTAAACGTTGCTTATTGATAATGTTACTTAAAAATTAATGAAAACCCTGCATCACATTTCGACTCCTTAAGTAATCACAAAGAGAAATTTATTCGGAGTCACATTAGTAAAACAGTCAAGTATTTTTATCCTTAAATAGTAACAAGTTTATTCTTCATGTGTTAACTTGCGAACAAAAACACGTTAGAGAAACATTCTCGCTAACAAGTAGCTTAAAAAGACTTATAAATACTAGTGAAAAAAAATCTTTTTTTTTTGTAGGGTCTCAGAGTCAGAGTTAAAGAGTTTGACTCCGTAAGATTCTAATATCAACCGATTTTATCTATTATTTACGGTTCTTAAGTCTCTTTCTCTATATTTCAGCGTTTATCAATAGATTGAGTTGTTTTTTTCTCTCATCAACTATTTCAATTTTTGTAAAACACAATTTAAAAGGAGTGTTGAAATATATATATAGGGTAGAAATTTGCACCACTTCTGTTTTCTTTCACCGATCGTGACAGACATTGTTGATAGATGATTACAGACTGTATATCAAGGGCAAATCGTCCTTACAGAATGTTAATTCCTACAATGACAGAATATTAACGATTCAACTTACCCAGGTCGATTTTTAATTGGTAACCAAACACTTCCAAGTGCACATAAAAATCCTGTCATATTAGCCCATTCATGAAAAACATCCTAAAAATAATTTATAGAAGTTTTTTTCTTTATATTTTTCTATTATAAATATACAAACTTCAATATCATGTTCACTCGAATGAACTCCAGTTCGTCTTTTACCAAATTTTGTATAACCACTTCCAACAAAACCACTTGTTTCACTTGCATTAACCGATGGTGAACTAGCTGTTGATCCTCCACTACCCAAATCATCGACTCGTTTTGGATAAACTGCCAAAAATTTAGCCAAATGTTGTTGACTAACAAAAGTATCATACCAAGCTTGTTTATTTCCTGGTGTTGCATATTCAATACGTCTTAATAGTGAAAGAATTTTTTTTTGTAAAGCATTTCTTCCAGTTGTAACTAATGTTGTTGATGCTGTTGATAATTCCATATAAATATTATAATTAGGTAATATTGTTAATACAGCTGCTTCATCAAAACCAAAACGAATATCAGCTTCATATGCAAATAAAGCAAAACATGACATAGCAATTTTAACAGCTTCAGGATCAATTGACCATAAATAAATAAGATATGCATTATCTTTATGATGGAAAAGAAAAGCATTACGTAAAACAAGAATTTCTCTTAACCATCGTAAAACAGATGTATATTCATAGATTTGATGTAAAACTAATTTTTGTGATATAGAAAAAAGTACTTGACTTGATATTGACCAAAATGTATTTATTGATGCTTCTGGATTCCATAATTCAATATTTCGTGTTTCATGTAAAACTAATAAAGATTCCATTGCTGCATGAGCAACATCTGGCATCATTGATGTATCATGTACAAGTGATACAAGACCATTTATTAATTCAAATGTTGACATTTGAGTTTCATGATCAAGTTTATTTGGATTATGTAACATTAAATATGGATCAACGATTATTAAACGTAC